TCATTACAATAATTTCGATGACCTCAAATGCACCTACCGACCTCCTTTAATGAAACAGTCAATGATTCTATTAACCAATGTAACATTACTTATTGAAGTAGATGATGGTTCAGTAAAGAATATCAAATAAGAGTATATATATATATATATATATATATATATATATATATATATATATATATATATATATATATATATAAAACCGAAAGGTACATAGTAGAAAAGTATGAGTAATAATAGTTAACTTACAAGGACACTTCTGGTAGGGATAAAGTAATGTGATGTCAACTTCATCGAAGCAACGATTTAACGACACTTTGGAGTAGTTATCGATTACGCACTAAAGAGATAGAAGCACAGGGAGAAAAAATTTCAATGTATGTGTGGTTTTAGGAGTTTATACTTTACAACATCAAGTTTTAAAAAATTGTAAAGGAAATACTTCATGATTGTATGCTATCAAATCCTATTTTTTGACAAAAAATGCATGTTTTACGAATTTCCAGAATTACAAAAAAGTTGTTATTCCCGTACAATAAACCTTACTTAAAAATAAAAATACTGTTACTAACACATTCACATTCATCGAATATTTTGGCGTATATGCGACTCACTAAAATGTTTCAGGACTTAAATAGCTACAAATATAGATTGGTTATTGATTGAAAGAATTATTAATTGCTTTGGTTAATGTTTATCAGATTTCTTTACTGAATATTGAAAACAATGTTACGTACTTGCTAAATTTTATTGACTATCCACACTAAGACTAGCTCGTGATGACTACTCTTCAACTAAATATCTGTTTTTATTGTCCGAGGATATTTACGTGAATCTTTGAGATATAGATTGATAACTGAAAAAAGTGATTAAGGTGCTTCAGTCGTATAAGATTTATATATCTCTTGTTTTCAAAGACAAATGTATACCTTACGTATAGTATGAAAATTAAATGATTGGTAGATTGATGAACTACGTTTTTCGATAAACTGGAAGGAACGTACAGAACTGTAACTAGAGAAAAAGTTGGCAATAGGTTCTTCGTGTTCAACTTTTTTTGTCTATTCAGTAATGAGCTACTAACTATAGTCTAAAAATATTTCAGTAATTTGTTTTTAATTCGATAACATATTTCATAGACATGAGCTTAACTACGAAAATGATACGTAGTCCGATGATGAAGGTAATGGCTAGTAAAGTTTAAGTGAAATTGTGCTATGAGTAATGTCATCCAAAAAGCCTTCAATAGCTAACTTGTCTTGCTAAATTTTATCGTCACTCATAGGTTATATAGTTGAATTACCTCTAAATAATCTGCATAATATTAGTTGAAAGAAAGTATGAGCGTTCATATGTTTCGATAGACACAGGAACCGACAAAGTCAGTCAGTCCTACAAAACTAACAAACGTCACTAAGAAATTAATTAGTTCAATAAATAACGTCTTCTGAGCAACAATATGGACTAGTTGATTTGAACCAAACCAACGTCTGGACCATAATGGACTTTTCAGCGTCAAACATCACCACAAAAAACCTAGCTCTGTTCAGGATGAAGTCGAGGACTTAAATGATCGACAAACATATACTAGCTCCCCTAATTACCATGGATCCCAAGATTTGTTGAAGTTATATTAGTTTCAACAGAAAATTATCTTTCAAGAAATGTTAAACAATAATCATTTAGAAAACAGTGAAATTAAAGAACAATGAACAAAATCCCCAACCTTCACTTGAAAATTTCAACCAAGTTCCAGTAAGAATAATAATATTAGCTAACAAAGAAAACATACCGGTATATTTGGGAATTGTTCTAATTCACAAAGACCATATGTAATGCAGGAATTATCAGATGATGAAAAGCGCTGTATACGAATATGCCGTGGATGACCGTATACAACAGACAGTGAATATTCTCCCATTCTCTCAGCACTTTTAGATAGACGTACAAGAAATGTACCGTCAATACAATTACTTAATAAATTAACAGCTTCAAGTCTGTCCATTTCACCAACATACCTATTATTTGCATCAACAAAAATAGATATATAAGTTAAAGAAATAAATGTATTGGGTAGAAGAGAGCAAAACGAATGGAAAAACAGTTGGTTGAATGAAAACAGTAAAATGCCAACATACAAAACAATTAGTTATAACAGTACATATATATATATATATATATATATATATAATTAAGCATGCTTCTCTCTTGCTACTGTAAAAGTACACAAATATCGAAGAAAAAAACCAAAAGAAAAGGTTATCAGGAATTTAAGAAATTATTGAGAGAAACAATTATATACATACACATACCAATGAAATCTTAACAGGTATGACATCATTTGAATGTTCTGATGAATAGAGAATTCTTTAGTTAAATAAAATTATTTCGCATTCTATATAATACAAATAAACTATTCATAATAATCAGCATGAATAGTGTAAGTTTTAGTGAGAAAAACATGTTATAAAAATGTTAACCGATGTTGATAATTAACAAATACATCAGTCGATAAAATTATTCTAAAGTAAACTTATTTACTGTTGATGTTGACTATATGATGGCTTTGTAGTAAGATACCGATAATGTTTGAAAAAAACAATTCAAAGCCGTTCACATTCATCATCAGTGATGAAGCATACAATAAACTGCTGGATAAACAATAACCACCTGAAACAATCAATAAATTGATATATACCTTCAGATATAACTTAAAATGCATGGAGTAAGAATTTGTATCATTTTAAATGATGTGATAATACACTACAAATTTTTGCGTCTTGTTGATAACTGATGAAAGCTATAACGATACAACTATGAGATTCCCAGGTAATATAGTCATAAATTAAAAAAATTATTTGTGATACAACGATATTACGATTGAATAACAGTTTGGTGTTATTTGAAATCGAATGATCATTCAACTGACATAGTTATGCAGATGAAACTTGTCTGCTAAATACAGGTTTATGTACTCGGGACTTTGAGTCACAGTATTTATAAGACAGCTAGTAATCCTACCCGACCTGGTAAAGTGAAATAGGCAGAATATGGTTCCAATATATAACCTACAGCTGGTTAAAAGCTAAATTTCTCAGAAACTAAACCACCATTGGAGCCTATATATTTAACATTAGTTAAGATTACTTATATTTCAAAATAGTTATCTCCATTAATTAACTCAGATATCAAAATAAATATCATGCGTATACATGACATAAAACTTTTGTCACATCTACGGAGAATATACTAGTAAGACACAATATTTCTGATAAATCTACACAGACAAAATTAAAATCTATTCAGGCAAATGATGAATACACATTTAAAGATTGATTGATTACACAACTGTTCAATTCCAATATCTATCTTAAACAAACAAACAACAGGTTTATTTTGGAAATAAAATTTTTGATGTAAACATATATAATTTTAGTATCAGAAAGGGTTTTGTGGAGATTATAGTAATTTCATTAGTTGAGATCATGAGTCAATTGAAGCTACTGTCTACTGAAATCTTACAACCCCATTTGTATTCATTGTAATGTCAAATTAGTTTACAGCAAAAACTAAACAAGTCCTTGTATAATATTAATTATTAATTACACATTGAATAGTTATACAAAGTTATTCATGTTCAGATATGAAATTCATCAACAGATAATAAATAAATAGTGTTTACTTGATGCTTCTACTTAGTTAAGTATATCACGAAAGGTAAAGATCAAATTTTAAACCTAAATTGAATTATTTGACAGATTTGTAGTTTCATAAAACTTGAATTATGGTTTTAAGCGATAATTTTCTTAGTAACCTAGTAGATTTTGTTGTATTATCCAATGACTACATCCAACTCACATATTTATTGACAGTAATTACATTACACAGAATAAATTTGTTAATCTGAATATATAGTTCTCGATCATATCATTGTCTTAATGTCTCGAAGTAAGACAGATTTCAGCTGACTAAATACTCATTCATTACCAACCGCTTTCTTTATGTCAGAATTAAGAATAGTTTCTTAATGTTTTTACAGCTAAGCGAATTCAAGATTAATGTTTAATTAGTAATAACTGTTGATTTGATCAGCATACCAATAATGGCAGGTGACAAGAACCGTTTAAGTGATATTCTGTAATAAACTTTGATCTTCATAATCCCATTATTCAACTAATAAGTTCTTTAAGAAATTTGTCGTCCAGTTTCACATTTATATAAGAAATTAACTTGAACTCCTGAATTTAATACTAAGTAATTTAAAATTGATTATTTTTTATAATCCTTTATCACAGAATACTATTGTATTTATACTAGTATTCATTCATTTATTCAATAAATTCTGTTGCTATAGCCAAACAACAAAATGTAGACAAGAAATGTACACCATATCTTTTTATTTTGATATAAAAAACACATGAAACATAGTAACAATAATGTTAGGTGGTTGGAGATAGTTGGTAGGAAGCAATGTCTGGACACGGTTTCATGCTAGTTAGCATTCCTCAGCAAAGAGTAACTGTAATCTTGAGAGGATAAATGCTTTACACTATATTAGAATCCATGTCACTCACATTCAGTCTCGGACATTCGAATCTAACATAGTGTCAGATTCCTTGAAATTACAGGTAAACCTTACTGACGAGTGTCAACACGCATGAATCCAAAGTCAAGCAGAGTTTCCTGTCTACTGACTTCAGCCACCTAAAATTGAGAAATAGTGAAGGCGATGTTAAATCATTTATACTAGTAGCCTCATTTCTACTTAATCGATAGAATCCAATCATCTCTGAGGACTAGACAGAAATGACGTTAGTCAATATTCAATTATCAATTGACCAATTAGTCAGTTAATTAAAAAGCAATAATAATACCAACAAATTATCGATATTTTGGCATAGGTTGACTTTTCACACCTTTACAAATAGTAGGAATAGTATGTATGGACATAATATTTTCTCTTAAACTGTGAACAAAAAGCAATATCAAACCAAATAGTATAAAATAATTTATGAATTATAAATAAAAACTACAAATTGTACATAGAGTAATACAAAGCAGTCAAATGACCATGCAAAATGACACATAGCAATCAAGCAATTAAGGTAAACAAATCCAAACATGCAAATTATACACATAAGATGGACACAGCATAGAAGTGTAAAGTAGCTATCTAAGCAAAGTAATGAAAAAAGCTAGATTGAAACAAGTATTTACATGACTAAACTTTAGAAATAAAGAACAGATGACTACTGAACAGAATTTCATTCAAAGGCTTTAATTTAGCTCCTAATATATCGACAAGTATTTTGATCTCTAAAATGTATTGTGGTTGACATTAGGAATAGTAAACTGCTAGTAAGAAAGTAATAACACTACATCTTATTTGCTACACACACTTAAATGAGTTAACATAACTTATTAGAACAATATTTCTTGTAATTGGAGAAAAATTGATTACTTTAGATATTTTTCTACAAGGATAAATAAGAAATACACATTTCATATTATAAATGTACATTATACATATAAACAAAGATGCACAGTTTACCAGGGAAAAGTCGACAAAAAGTAATGTGAATGGTCCATTGTTAGATCTGCTGGAAAATTTTCAAATCTCGAGGTGACTGTTGCACTAACTGTTGCAGTCTGTGTAGTTGACAACACTGATGGAACTAAATCAATACACTGAGATAATTCGGGAATTTCCAAAGCTGATAAACTACGCTTTTTCAAACGTCGAAACATTAATGGAGGATATGAATTATTTATATTCATATTCACCGGGATAAGAGATGTTAATGATGAGCAAGGAGAACTAGGAATATTATTATAATTATTACCGACGATAGGCGATAGAATGTTATTTAAAGTTTTATTTGCTATTGTACATAAAGGTAAATTGGATGGAGATGTTTCATTTGGTGAAAAGAAAGGTTTCTGAACTGAAGAATTATTATTATTAAAAACTGGTGTTCGATCAGAACTAGACGATGAAGATACTTGATGAGAAAGTCTTGTACAGCTTGGCTAATTAAAATAAAAATGAAAAGGAATAAAGTAAATATCCCTAAATTTATTAAAACAATCAATAAAACTAGTATACACATAAACATGCTTAAAAAAGACAGAGCACATGCATTACATAAAAAATATAAAATATATACTAATAATCAACTCGTGCAAATCAAATTTCCAACTAAAAAGCAAATACAAATACAAATAGACACAACTGAGCTAGAAAAACAAAAAGTGTCGAAACAGACCAGTCATAGCCAGTAAGAGGATCATGACTGTCTACGAGCGACGTGACAGTCTGTCTGGTTTGACGTAGGCAAGTATCCACCAAAATATTATTATTGTTATTATCATTATTATTATTAGTAGTAGTAGTAATACAGTTATTGTTCAATTTGTGTTGATGAGGAAAGTGTTCCAGATCGAAGTTTAAACAAATTTCTTTGGAATTATTTGTTGAAATTGAACAATCTGGGGGTAGACTGTGCCGAGAAGGATGCCCTATCAAAGTCGACAGCGACATAGCTGGATTGTTGGTAAATGTTGTATTCGAAGTACCAATCTGAATTTATTAATGAGAATACGATTCAAAGGAAATAAATAAATAAGTAAAGGCTTCACAACCGATTGTTGTGGTCCATTAATACTTCATTTAATTACTTTTTATCAGGAAAAAAAATAAAATGCATTCATTCTATCTTAATATAAATATTCATTTGGTAAAAAAGCATTTAGTTTAACCAAGAATTACTATCTAAATCAGATATGAACAAACGTTTTTAATATGAAGTACCATGTTCTGTCATAGTAATTTCCAATTACCTTAGCTTTAGTATAGATCTGAAGAATCACCTAATGTAGTTTTCCCAGCTTAGATCGGAATCATAAGAAATTTCGGTGAGGCTAGAATTTATGCACGACCTCTGAGCGACACTAAAGTTACTTTGAAAATGTCCACCTACTTACTAGTGTTAAATAAGGGTTATACACCAGTGTAAGGAATTAGGATTATGAGTTACAGATGAAGGAATTTCGCACTAAAATCCAAGACCTATTACCTTAAATTTGATTGATTTGTTCATAAATGTTAATTAAGTAATATTTGTCATCACTCCACATTAAAATAGTCATAAATTAAAATCATGTAGATGAGTTGATATTAACGGAGAAATAAGTTTCACATACACTCAGAAGGTATTAGAATGCCAATTGAATTAGAACAAGACAAGTAATAACCATATGATAAACTATAAGTTGAAACCATTATCATATGTATCTAATTTACAACAATACTTGAACGTTTTATGCCAAACAGCTCAGAGAAAGAAATTCCATCAAAACCATCTTCTTGAAATACAAATCTTCGGCACCACCTATTGTCTCAGAGACACTTGAATTTTACTACATGTTGGGGTTTAAATTGTAATTGGGACCTTAAAAAAGAGTTTGCTGACCAATCGTAGAAAAAAATGGTAAAAGAGAGAGAACAACTTACCTTATTCATTTTATTATTAACCACCATTTCAACGAGATTAGCAGGGAACCAACCATCAGATCCATCACAGTAACCCTGAGTGTTGATAATTCGAAATATAAAAAATTAAGAAACGTAGTTGATAGAATCAAATTAATTATCAATTAAAATTAATAGGGATATAGTTGAATGGAAACTACTGTATGGAGACAGTATAGAAGTATAACGAAGTTTATGGAGAAAATGTTTATATTTGAAAAAACACCTAGTTCTTATCTAAAATATTATACGAGTAATTGTTAAATTTTATGAAAAAAAACCGATAACTAAATAATCATTGTTGTAAAAATGAAAAGTTTACTTACTTCTAACCCGCTCTTTTGGATAAAAGCATGAATATTTACATTGCATCTAATCACATAGACAATTGTGAATCAATGAAATTATCAAAAATCATAAGCAATATAGAATGCACTGATGCAATATCAGTGGTGGGTGTCTTCATCAGCTTTTCAAAACGGAGAACATCGTCTTTAAAATATCTTATGGTATTCAAGTGAATACATGATGGTTAACGTTAGAGATGAGCTAATAATTGGTACAGGTGGTACTTTTAGAAACACCCTACAGTGGGCTATGACGTATACATCTACTGTGTTTATATTGGATATTTATTTTATGGTAATTTTTTTAAATTGCCTAGATTATAGGCTCTCATTTAAATCGTTAACTACTGAAATATGTCTTACTATCCATAAATTATCTCCAATCGCTTATGCATCCGTTACTCAGTTTGTATTATAAATGACCTAGTTATGTAAAAACTGTGATTTCCTATCTGTATTATGTTGTAGTCCTTCAACAGATGTACATTATCATGAGTTCTTAATCCACGTACAGACAGCAACAAGGTTGACTGTTTTCGTGTTCTGACTAGTCGTTGAGGATAGGAATTGAGTGGACTAATATGTGTTAGGTTGTTAATGGTGTCGTTGTCCAAGTTATTGTTGATAATCATACCGGCGTAAAGCAAAACACTATTCGTCGACTCGGTCACTTAGTGAACTGACTAGATGGATATCAAGAAGTTGAATCCATAACAGAGCGTTTATTCATCTATAAGTCATAAGTTTGAATGTTGATCGACCTACTTTGTCGTTTCAGTGGATAAGTAATATTACTAGTCTCCATGTACAAAACATCCTGTAAAGTCCATAAACTTGATTTTATTAGATGATTGCCGAGTTAGCTCAACGGCAACATAAATTCAAATAAAGCTTTTGACTGATAACATTCAATAGTGAATTGCTCAGTTCATACAATCAATCAGTGTTATTTCCCTTGAATGAATTCATTGTTTTCAACTAAAAGTTTATAAAAACATTGCTCGTGACTACAAATAATTCAGCACAGAATGACTTAAGCTGCATATATTCAAAAAGAAAGAATAAGTGAATGTATACTGAATTTACGTAAACTATTAAGTTACACAGAAATGTATGACTGTTGATCGACATGTAGAATCAAATATTGCTCGATCTATACAATTTCGAAGAGTATATACCGCGCATAATATATGTGGTTAAAAAACCAAGTAAACAAATCTGGCCGTTAATATCTTATACTATTGATAATAAAACAATTCACAAAATTTATGTTCAGTAGATATTAAACTACATGTTATATTCTTTACGTATTCGAAAATTGACAAAAGTTCATTTCAGTAGGTAGTGAGTTCGTTGATAATAGTAGAAATAAAATTGAGATTATTTTCTGTGACATATATACTATCGATTATTTACATGGATATAACTCAATTTGCATCGGACAACATATACTTGAACAATGTTAACTTTTGAAGGAAGACCCGAAATTTTGAAACATGTCATAACAAGATCAGTTTTATCACAATTTTGGAAAACATATGATAGACAAATAGGTAACAAACTATTCCCACTAGTTTAGTATAATCCAAGGTCAGTATCAAGTACATGTGCGATTAGACTATGTATATTTTGAAGATTAGGTGACTTGTTAGTGTGCAGAAATTGATATTTTGCTAGAGAATTTTATAATATAAAGATGATTATTATATTTTCAAATAGTTTACAACTTTCAGTGGTAATTTTAAAGAGATTACAAGTCAAATAACTATATATTGAACTGGATACATCATAATGACAAAACTCACCTGCCACCATGATGAGCCTTCAGTCCATTTGATTAATTCAACTTGATCTCCAATTGATAATCTCAAAGGATGACTACCTGATGGTGGAAGAGGATCACCATCATATGCTTTTCGTGCTATAGCAAAAGTTGGATTCACTGGAGGAATACTTGATGTAGGTAAACCTGAAGATATACGTCGATTACGTTGTAAAGTGACATTCGATAGATTGTTATGATCACTCGCAAGCCAGTGGTTCACAGAAGATATTGTATCAGTTAACTGTGAGAAGTCAAATGATTCTGAATTAGATAAAGAGTTGTTTCCAGGTGTACATGGTACACTTCCCATCGTCACATGAGAACGTCGACTACGCACAGTATTAATCTGTGGAGGTAATGGCGGTGGGGCACTCGAAGGAACTCCATTAATATGTGCATTAGCCATACCACGCAGTGGAAGATTATGATTGGCAAGACAACTTTTATGTGCAGCTCGATTTGTTTCTGCATATAGAAAGTAAAATAAAGTACTCTTATGTAAAAGAGTATAAAAGGATATAGAGTACTCTTTTAGTATCAACTAATTAAAACATTATTCAGGGCGTTAGTACATATACCAAGACTGTAATATATGATACAGCGAAGAAAAAGAAAACTACCGCTACACAGCTTTAAATAAGGGAAAGTTCATTAAAAGTTTACGAAAGTCACACATTTGATTTCTAGTTTCGGAAAAAAAATATCAACTTTAACCAAATTACAATTAATTCAGTAAATATAGAGAAGCAGAAGTGATTCTTTCTTTTCTTGGGTAATCAAAAAAAGCTGGCCTGGAAGAGAAGAATGACAGCTGACGAGACTGTTATTTGTGGACAAACCAATGGGATTATGTCGTTGATCTTGGAGCGAAATTCATTTATCCAAATAATTAAACAGAATTTTGTCATTATAGCTGATATCAGTTCGTGATGAAAACCCTGGCTCTAATTCCTAACCCTAATACTTCATATTAATTTATAACCCTCTTTCAACCCTAGTGAGTTTTCTTAACGTCACTTTACCATCGCTCAAAGGTCGACAATAAATTATAGTTTCAACGATCAGTTTTTTAAAGTTTCATTCATGTCTTATAGCACCTAATTACAAGTCATGGAAACTCATATGGTAGGATGGAATACGCAGTTTATTTATATGCGAACTTTTCAAACAGAGGGGTCGACGGAAATACTGGTAACATTGTAGTGATACACTTTGTGTCACAATCTTGTAACAACAGACCAACACCAATCTTAAGCTATCCTTAAGGGGAAAATAAATCCTTGTATTATGATGATACTACCATGGCATAACAGGGCTTCGAAGAATTAATATCCCATGCAACAGAACTCGAATGTCAAATTGACTACTGCTCTAAAGACCAAAAGATATGAACTTCGAAAAGAAATCGAAGTCACACTTTAACTCGAACTTGAGACACATTATAAAACACCGTATGAGTTTTTCGCATATATTACTATCCAAAGTACCTAGATATATCTAATACATTATGTATCTTTAAGTAAGCATCCGTTTCACAAAGGTAAAAATAAACAAATACAGAAAAAAACGCTAATAATTTCACTCAGAACATATATATATATATATATATATATATATATATATATATATATATATATATATATATATATATATATATAACAATGAGACTAGACAGAACAAGGTAAACACTATACGAATTGAACAAAACCGATATATTAATTCTCACCAAATAGACATGAAAACAAAATAAAAGTATTTATTCTGATCATACATATAATCAGAACGGTGCTGGTATTCTGTAGTGTTAATAATAATTTTAAAGCATGTCTAGAAAGAAATAATCTTTATCATTGTGTTTGTATAAAGCAGTCGTGTACACTGCGACCGATACATACAAAAATACATTCAAAGTGAATTTCATTCTTTTAAGAAAAATTACAAAAAATTAAACAAAAGAATGAAATTTAATGTTATAACACAATAAGAGAATTAACACGAAAGGTAGGTTAGAAAAGAATGATCAACTGTTGAAAAGCAAAAGAAGCAGTTTTTTTTTACTTCTATAGTAATGCACAAACAAAATATCAAATGTAGGAATATTATTATCAGCTGTCATGTTTAATAAGCCAAAACAATGAAAAAATAATTTTCAGGTTTTGTCTTTTGACATAAGGGCATTTTGAAGATAACAAAACATTGTTATCAGCACACTCGCCAGGTACAGTTTTCATGTACTTAACTTTCCAGTCACGTTCTAAATGTGAGGACTAGTTATATCACTGAACTGTTCAACTATGTAACTTGGCGACTAAAAGTCGAGCGATTTAACCACTGGGTTACTGCTAACGCTTTGCAGTCCATCGATAATAACAATCATAACATAGAACAGTTGGTTATAAAGCATAGGCTTTGAGAAATGAAAATACAGACTTATTGTTTCAATCAAGAAGCTTGGACGGTAAATGCCATAGTTTCTTTTTCGCAATCAACAGAGAGTTATTAACTAAAGTTAATACAACTAGTTGAAGGGTTTCCAAGTTGTATACAAAAACATATATATTTATCTATTGAAACACAAAAATTAGTAAAAATGGACATCAAAAGAAATATCTCTCACATAAAAAGGAAATAATATTTTAAGGAGATAAATGAAGTGTAATCAAATTTTTTTTTGATTAGAACACAAACATTGGAACAAAATGTACCAAATAGATATGAGCCACATAAATCATTCGACTTGTGTAAGGGCTGGGATACTGCCTGGAAGCCCAAACCTAGACATGTGGCTTTGTTAGGAAGGCACGCCCAGAGCCTTTGGCCTAAAGGTCTAATCCACAACGTAGTGGAGCAACGTCAGATGCAGTCCCATGGTAGCCGGTAACCAACGATTGGTTCATACACCACTTGTTCCATCAAGATACTGGCTGTGGCTTTTACTATACGTGCATTGGTCTCATCACTCACGTCACCACCAGCACTTATGCAGCTACCTAGATACACGAACTTCTATACCACTTCTATCTGCTCACCGTCCAGAGTGAGTACAGGGTTAGAATCCTGCCAATCTTGTAGGAGTACTTTGCACTTCGAAGGTGCAAAGCACATGCCTCACCTACGGACATTGATTGCCAACTGATTAAGTGCGGATTGCATGGCTTGGGAATTCTCACACAGTAAGACAATATTATTCGCATACTCAAGGTCGAGAAGTCGTTCTCCAGGCAACACTAACTCAAAAACAATTGCGTCTATGTGCTCTAGGATCATGAAGAGTCGATAGACGCATGAGTCTATTTTTGGTCGCCAGTTATCATTGCAATCCATCTCCTGACGTTGCTCTACTACCTTGTAGATTCAACCTCTATATCAAAGGCTCGAGGAGTAAGGTCCTAAGAAAGCCATCTGCTTTAGTTTGGGCACCCAGCCCTCTCACAAATATGAATGAATAACTATGAAGAGAATTGATATCCTTTTGCGCTTCATCACAAAAAAATAAATATACGTATACATCAGATAACACATACTATAATCATTAGAATAGATTAAGCACACAAAACTTGAAAGAAGAATATCACTGATGGAACATACACATACAGCCACAAAAACTTAAGGTTATGCTATAAAAAAGGTAAACTGATTGTTATGAATTTTTGACCACAGAAAGAAGTTTAATGCACTACTATTTGGATGCATAAAAGGGAGTTGAATGAAACCTTGTCATAACTGTTATAACTGTCTTATTGATTAATGAAGTAATTAAAATTTGATGCACCTATCAGTCTAATAAAGCACAGACACACATACACACGCAGAGAGAGACAGAAAGATAGCGGAACAGAAAGAATAACATTTATAAGAAAAATATTATTTTCATTAGTAATAACAGTCTTCAACAATTAATTAATAATCTACATTGTGTCATAATCCAGAGGGTTAACATTTTTGTACATACTTTAGAATCAGTGATGGAATGGTTTGATATGAATACTAGTACTACTAATACTACTATTAACAGTACTGCTTCAATATTCACTCAACCTGAATGCAAAACAGTCAATTTGCATACAGGCAGAAGTAGAAGCATTTTTATATATATAGTTTTACGTTAAGGTTATTCAAAACCATGAGGCAAAAGTAGACACATTGGAAAAATTGAAGAAAAAAACTTCTTGATCGAATTTTCAAGTGGACCTCAAAGAAATTAAAATCGAAAAATAAAAATATACTTAGCACAGCAATTTTTCGTCGCATTCACATTTCAAATAATTAATAAGCACATAAACTAAGAGATTTACTAAAATTGTCATCAAAAGACTTAGATCTAATAATCATATCTAAAAAAATATTGTTAATAAACTCCATGGTTTTAATTTCCTAAGTTCAATGGTACAATATTTTATAGCATACTGTAACTGCTTTAAAATCCTATAAAACAATTTTCATCTACATACAAGCTTTTGTCATCTTACTGAACTATGAGCTCTTAGAGTTAATTTCCAAACTTCTGGAAAACTCCGTGCTTCGAAACCATCAATGGTTGAAGATCTATACTGAATTAGGTCAAAACTGATCATAGTGATGACTAAATGTTGAGTTCCATTAAATAATCCCATAATTTTGTATTTCCTTGTCACATTTTATTTATTCATAACATACTCATTCTAATGAATCTTTATTACGGTAATCGATATAAATTAATATTCCAACTTCATTGATATTCTCATCTTGCTATAAGATGAAATGTGGTAATTTGAACTGATGGATATTGACGACTGGTCCTATACGACAATAGTTGGTTGTAACTGATTGACTAAATGATTGATAAACTGATCTTTGTGAATAATTGATACAAGTATTTCGGATTGCGGACAATTAAAGAAAATTAACGAATAAAAAATGAATAAATCCATTTTATTACTGTTACAAGTTCGCGCTACATACATATTTGTTGATTGTATAATGCTGTTCTTTTTTTGTGAACAATTTTCCGTTAATAGTATTAAAGATAAAAATAATATAAAGGTTACTTTTGCAAACTAAAAACAGTTACTACTAGTAACCGATTTCTTAAAGGATTTTTTTTCATCTACAAGTTCGATTGTAAACAAAACTTGTTTCAATAAAACAGTTTAAGTGTAACAAAGCGAATACTTATTTGTCTACAATGACATGAACGAATAAACAAATTTAACACAACTCTGATTTAATTTTTTTTTAGTAAATGATGAATTACAAACGAGGATTGGTCAGTAAACTTGTTAAACTTAGTTCAACAAAGAGAGGAATTATGGTATGTGATAGTTATCCTCAGAACAGTGACTACGAATGACTTTTAAAATTAGAAGAAATTCCTTATAAATATTTATATAAAACTTCAGAATACTTCAGCTTTTTATGACACGAACATTGATAAAGTTAGCTATACTAGTGAGGTCTAGCGGTCCCGCGTGGTCTAATGGTTAGGATTCCTGGCTCTCACCCAGGCAGCCCGGGTTCGACTCCCGGCGCGGGGGAGTTTTGCCCCCAAATGCCCTGGTATGGCCGAGAGTGGGGAGGGTTCGTCCTCCCTCTCGAAATACTCTCACACGGCCATGCGTATACAGCCTCTGCCAGGGAAGTCCTACTCACTGCCTTCTCGCACCATGGGTGTTGTTTACGAAAATGAGAGGACGAAAAGCGAACGTCTGGCGCTATAACCGGATCCCAATTCAATGGTGAACATGGGCTCCAGTATCCTGCGGGAACAAATGGCGTATGAACCAATCGTTGGTCACCGGCTTCCATGGGACTGCATCTCCTCACGGTGCTCCACTGTCTTGTGGACTAGACCTTTAGGTCAAAGGCTCGGGGTGTGGCCCCCTAAGAAAACCACCTGCTTCGGTTTGGGCACCCGGACAGTATCTCAGCCCACGCACTAAAACCATGATGAACTATTTGCTTATGGAAAATATTCCTTTCTATCTGATTAACATTGAAATAACTCGTACTATTATTATTATCATTATTATTATTATTATTATTATTATTACTCTACCACGTCATTTATTCACCCTCTCTTATTCCTACTTTATGTATCCGTTTCAACTCAGACAGCAGCTCGCCTATGGTGAAAATTCAGCTTTATCTAAACGTTCTCGAGTCACTGCCTGGTTGAAAATTGTATGTTACTACCGAATATGAGTACTGAAGCAGTTTTTCTGAAACCACGTGCACCATTCAAACTGGCTGCCTTCAACGTTCGCACACTTATGCAGGTCGGACAACAGATAGGACTGGCTATGTCTTTGGAAAGTCTCAATATTGATGTGTGTTGTCTATCCGAGACCCGTATTCAAGACTCTGGTGAAGTACTACAAGTTCGCTCTCCATCTGTCGCTTCAAAAAGCTTGTTTTATGTGCGTTTATCCGGGCACCCTGTGGCATCTTCTTCTGGTCTTGCTTGAGGAACACAAAGCATGAAATAATATGGAATATGAAAACCTAGGAGAAGAGAATGTGTTCTAGAGCGGACTCCAACCTAATATTCAGCATATATCAACACTTGTCGGTCGCAGGACAGATAACGGGGAACGTCTACTGCAACTGTGCACAGACCACAACCTGTTTCTGGCTAGCACTAACTTTCGGCACAGTCATCGCCGATGTGCCACCTCGCGTCCTCCCTCTGCATCTCAAGCCTGGACTCAGATTGATCACATCGCGATCAGCTACCGATGGCGTGGTTGTGTACAAGACTGCCGCTCCTTTTGGAGTACTTATCTGGACTCTGATCATGCTCTAGTCTGTGCCAATCTTACCTTACTTTTCAGTGGACAACGAAGTGACCGTCACCAAAGGATTGATGTCAGAAAGTTGGTTGGAACTTCTGTTGCTAGTAAGTATCGAACCGAGCTAGCTTCTAGGCTAGCTACCATTCCACCGAAAAGTATAGATGAGCATTGGTTGCAATTACATGACGCCATGAAAACGGCGGGTCAAGTCTGTTGTGGGTTCGCGAAACGTCCCGCTTACAAGCACTGGGTTTCTTCTGGTTCCTTACAACTCATTGAAGCCCGTCGGTCTACTCCGGGTGACCGTGAGTTTGACCACAAACGAAGGATGTTACGTAATGAAATCGGGCAAAGCTTGCGTAAGGACCGAAAAGCCTGGTGGTCGGAGCGTGCTAATGAGCTGGAAGCAGCAGCTGCATCTGGTAATTACCGGAAGCTCTTCCAACTCATCCGAGCCACTGGCAGCAAGAAGTCTGGTGTGAGCGAAACAATCTGCGAGGATGACGGAACGCCAATCACTAACATCCATCGACGTCTTGGACGATGGGCAGAATTTTTCGAAGGGCAGTTCAACTGGCCTGCTGCTCCGGCAACATCGGTCAGACTGTCCTGCCCTCCATGGCCGGTGACGACTGATCCACCAAATGAGGCGGAAGTCCGCAAAGAACTCCAACTCTTGAAACGTTACAAATCACCGGGCCCAGACGACTTACCTCCGGCTCTTTTTAAAGATGGTGGTGACTTTCTGACTAAGGGACTGACGACGTTGTTTACAAAGGTCTGGGAACTAGAGAGTGTACCGACGTCATGGAATGAGTTGATAGTTGTCCCTATCTCTAAAAAGGGTTCAAGTCGTTCCTGTAACAACTATCGGGGGATAAGTCTACTTCCGATTGCGTCCAAGCTATTGGCTTCCGTCATACTTCGTAGGTTGTTCAGAACCCGAGAAGGATTGACTCGCGAGGAGCAGGCTGGGTTTCGTTCTGGTCGAGGATGTATTGATCATATCTTTACCCTCCGCCAAGTGTTAGAACACCACCAAACTTATCAAAGGCCAACAATCGTAGTGTTTCTTGATATCAGGGCTGCCTTTGATTCGTTGGACAGAACTGTTCTCTGGGATTGTCTATTGAAGAAGGGTGTGCCTGAGAAGTTTATTAACATCCTAAAAGCCCTATACACAAACACCTCAGGCAGAGTGAGGGCATACAACCACCTTTCTCCACTATTCCATTCAAGCAGTGGAGTTAGGCAGGGTTGTCCAATCTCACCATTCCTCTTCAACTTTGCCATCGATGACATTCTGGAAACAGCTCTGACGGATGTAAGTAGTGGCGGTATGGATCTGTTGCCTGGAGAAAAACTCCTCGACCTTGAGTATGCGGATAATATTATCTTACTGTGCGACAATCCCCAAGTCATGCAATCCGCACTTAATCAGTTGACAATCAATGTCCGTAGGTGAGGCATGTGCTTTGCACCTTCGAAGTGCAAAGTACTCCTACAAGATTGGCAGGATTCTAACCCTGTACTCACTCTGGACGGTGAGCAGATAGAAGTGGTATAGAAGTTCGTGTATCTAGGTAGCTGCATAAGTGCTGGTGGTGACGTGAGTGATGAGATCAATGCACGTACAGTGAAAGCCAGAGCGTCCTATGCCAATCTGGGCCATCTTTGGCGCCTTCATGATGTTAGTCTGGCTGTAAAAGGTCGGGTCTACAACGCGTCGGTGAGAGCAGTTTTTCTCTATGCTTGTGAAACCTGGCCTCTCCGAGCTGAGGATGTTAGACAACTCTCTGTGTTCGATCATCGCTGTCTCCGAAGGATTGCTGACATCCAGTGGCAACACCATTTCAGTAATGCAGAGGTTCGGCATCGTGTGTTCGGGCACAGAGACGATAACCCAGTTGGTGTCACCATCTTGAAACACCGACTTCAGTGGCTAAGTCATGTTCTACGAAAGTCGTCCCAGAGAATTCCACGTCCTGCATTATTTTCCGACTCTGGGACTGGTTGGAAAGTGGCGAAGTGGTCAGTGTATGACATGGTGTCGTGGTATGAAAGAAAGCTGCAAAGGGCTAGCTTGTGTTGGTCCTTCACGATCCCTGGCTAGGGTCCGAGAGACGGTGTAACGCAGTGGCTAGAGACGTTATCAGATATGGCTCAGAATAGAAGCCAATGGCGATCCTGCTGTAACCTTCTTTTACTTTCTTCATAAAAAGTGGTTGTATCTTCCTGAACTGAAAGATTTCTTCCGGTTGTACCTTTCCGTTTTCCCATCATTGTTCTCTCTCTTTTTTTTATAATTCCCCACGTTCATTACTTTTTTTTTCTCCTTCTCTTCAAATTATCATTGTTTTGTGTGGCGCATATATATTTGGCGCCCCCCTGTACCAATATTTATGTGTTCAAATAAATAAATAAATAAAAATACTAGTGTGAAGAAATTAACGATCAAATATGAAAACTCAAACAGTAACACAAATTTCAAAACGAGCACACAATCTGATGAGGTTAAATGTTTGAATATTTTTAAGATGTACATACGCTTAACGCAATTTGCTACAAGTCATAAGCAACGTCGGTACAAGTTGCCATAACATTTCAGCATAATAAGATAAAATCACTAAAATAAATATCAGAATAGTATCAGTGGTAGTAAAACATATAACCCATAGACAATAATTGATGTGCAGGATAAAATATATGAAACAATTTTGAAAATTAGGGACAACAACGAATGAATGTGTCTGTGCTACTGCAACCGATTCCAAGTCATGCTACTCAACGTCTCTAGCCAATGATCATCACGAATAAAATTCAAGCAACCAAACCCTCAAAATCACAGAGTATGAAGGTAATATTCTATCCCTAAATACTGCGACCCATCAAGACATAAGAGATCTGTAAGTACAACATTCAATGAGCTATAAACCTTGACTTTTATTTAAGTCGAGAAATGAAGTTGTACTAATTTATGTTACACGTTACCGTTAGATTTATAAGAAATCAATAAACTATTAAACTGCACTTTGGAAAATAACCGTGAATATAATGAAAATTGAGCACTTGTAGTTAATGTTTAAGCTTAAATCACGCTCAATAGCTCACGTGAATGATAAGAAAGAATCTATCCTGTCAAAACAACTAACCTCGACAACGATAACCTTGAAAGAACATTCCCGTGATTAATTTATTACAGATACAACAATAAGTAGGTTGTTTAAATGTGAACATTTCAAAGTTGTAACCTCGGTCTTTCGCTCCAGGTGGACAAAGATTAGACCTGTTGTCAATGAAATCAAAGATCAACATGAAACAAATGGAGAATGAGCAATGGGAATAATGGTAAATTATATTAACATAGAAAATTTAAACAATAGGGGTAGTATAATAGTGGTAAGTATGGAAATGAATCCATACAGATAAGGCTATCTTAAATAATCAACCTATCAAATTTATTGTGCGAAATGGAAAATCAACTTTGAATACTAAGAGTAATATAGGTGGTCTGACTGACTTCAGAATTCTAAGAACTTGCCGAAGATTGACGAAATATCAAAAGCTATAGAATATCATCAGGCAAAAAATAGTTCCTTTTTAGGAAATTCACAATTTATTTTAAATGATTACGAATAACTTTCAAGACTTATAATAAATTTAAAATATTGATAAGTTGATAGCAATCAAGGTTTCAGATTTCCTTAAATTCGAATGAGCAGAAGTAAGTTATGTTTAGCAAATTAAAAAATCTTTTATTCTGAACAACTGGTTGATGATATTTGTTCACAACATATTTAAGATTTTTTGCCTGAAAAAAAATCCGGTATCATTTAATAGATTTCTATATAAATAAAATTATTATTCAAATGTGTTATAACCCTATTTTCTATCATACGTAAACTGAAAGCATTAAATTAACATCTATTTAAGAAATACTTATAACAGTATTCTAGCTTTATTAAGGACAAAACTAAAGCTTTGAATTAATTATTGTCGGTTATGAGGCAGTTAGACACAGAAGACAATGGAAGACGGTCACGCAATTTCGTGAACTGATTGAAGTTAGACATTAAAACCGTTAAATACCGGCTCAGTGATATAGAGGTTAATCGTTTGCGCGCGAGACATAAGGTCTCGTGTTCGAATTCTCACGCGCGGAATCGTAGATGCCCAGTTCAGTGCTTCCAGGTTTCGAATGGTGGTCTAACATTGATCGATTTACGGTCTCAATCAAAACTTTTGTATTGTTTATTTGAACCTTGCCATTGATGTTTAGGACTGCAATTGAACATCAACCCTGAGATGCAGGTACATCCAGCTGACCAGTCCAAAATAGGATAAAACGCGCGTCCTGGATCCAACTGCTGGCCACAATTCATCTTTGATGATAAAGCTCAGAAGGTTTATTAAATAAATCCATGATAAACAGAATTCTGCCGTAATCGAATTACTCGGGAACGATTTATTTCAGAGGAGTATAAAGTTGATCAAGTTCAATTTGAAAAGTACAAAATACAATAGTACTCTTCACATGAAGTTTGTCATAGTTGCTGAATGTAAAAACAACAAAAATAAGCTGTTTCAAAAACAAATACACATACAAGATTGACACCATCAACTTACAATGCAGCCATTACAGCTTTCATCCAAGCTGTACGTAATTCTTCGGATTTTGTAAAGAACGTAAGATTTGGTGAATCTCTATCACCCAAAATTGGTAAAGTAAATCCATAGGAATACTATTTTAAATAAATGAATAAACAGTAAAATATTGCTTACACCTACAATCTTGATGAGTGTAACTTAAAAAGATATAAAATATTAAAAGCACAAACCAAAACTGGACAATTAAAGACTTAAAATAAACACATGGTCTGATGCTAAATGGGAATATAAAAGTTTAGGTAGTGAAGAAAAAAACACCTGAACGTTCGTTGGAGAGGGCGGTTGTTTGATGACAAAACAACGAGTACAAGAGAACTGAGTACAATAAGTTTATTGGTTGAAAATATCGCATTGTTCCATAAAAACAAAGAAAAGATTATAGTAGCAAAGATCTTTTGATAATAAAAATGTGAAGAATGGAAAAGAAGATAGAGAAAAAACTCTAAATCACCAACTTAACAGATTGGATGCGAAAAAGATATGCTCGAAATTCTCTGGAAAAAATCGTTTTAATTATTTCAAATATCAAAACAATGAAGTTCATAATTTTCCAATTAGATTAGAAGTGGAAATAGACACATAATGGAACAGTAGTGTAAATATGATTTGATCAGTCCTGATGGATACAGTTTCATTCCATTAGTACTGTAAACAGAATACTACAATCATGTAGGCGCTGGTGTGTAAAAATACATAACAAGGAAAATAGACAATTATCATGTATAAATCTGAATATCAGATATTTAACAGAATTCTCCGCTGTTGGGACAAACTTCACATGATGAAGCTATATTAAGCTTGTGCAGGACTTCTGCGAAAGGCACTGACGAAACATGTTTGACCGATAATGATAAACGTCCGAGTTACTAGACCGTAGAAAAGTAATGTACATAACTATGTCTGTTAATATATATATATATATATATATATATATATATATATATATATATATATATATACATAGATATAGTTGTCATTAGACTATTTAGTTTATCACATGATAGCAAATATTGATATTTTTGTTCGTTATTTAACTTAGATGCACACAAATCACATTTATTTTATGCAATAAACATGTAATAACCTGAAATTCTTGCTATCAGTTTACGGTCATTTTAACATAATATCACAATTGTACAAATCAGTCACTAATTTTATTTGTTGTGCCGAGAGTGGGGAGAGTCCGCTCTTCCTCTCGAAATGCTCTCACATGGCCTCGCGTATATAGCTTCTACCAGGGAAGTCCTACTCACTGCCTTCACGTGGCACCAGTGTTGTTTACGAAAATGAGAGGACGAAAAGCGAATGTCCGGCGCCTTAACAGGATCCAAAACCAATGGTGCACATGGGCTCCAATATCCTGAAGGAACAAATGGCGTATGAACCAATCGTTGGTCACCGGCTACCATGGGACTGCATCTCCTTACGATGCTCCACATCCTTGTGGGTCAGACGTTCAGGTCGAAAGCTCGGGGTGTGGCTCCCTAAGAAAACCACCTGCTTCGGTTTGGGCACCCGGGCAGTATCATAGTCCTCACACAAATCAAATGAGACACGTGTGGCGCATATGTACTTGGTGCCTCCTTGTACCTATACCTATGTGTTAAAATAAATAAATAATGGATAGAATAACCATACAGTGACAATTAATGTAGCTCAATTACCTAACTGATATGTTAATTTTGTAACAGCTCTCCACAACATTGAAATTAGATTGTACTAAATAAAATCGGATTTTACAAAGGATATAGTTTATTCCTACTGAAATTTTTCAGTGATAAACAGAACAATTTAATGTATTAACGAATACTTCGCTGGCTTTTTAAATTTGCTAACAAAAACCAGTTAGTATTTTTTATACATTAAAGCAATGTATTGTAAGATAATTCAAACTTGTTGTCACTAAACTTATCAACTTCAGAAAATGTAATTCAGGAAACTAGTTTAACAATAAGAAGTATGGTAAGATGAACTGGTAATATTGTAACATTTAATCTGCCTATTATAGAGTGGGGGAGATATTTATTGTCAAAACAGCCCAGTTAGAGTTAGTTTGGCCAAAACTATAATCACTAATTCTTAATAAACATCAACATGCATAAAACGTTATGCTTCAGATAATTCAGTCAAGTAATCTATGAGAACTCTTCCACTAAGATAATAGTAGAGATTTTCGTTTGATTAACGATGTGACGGTATAAACCTGAACCTATATTCAACAAAAAAGCTTTTAAATTCGTCAATTACAGTGAACCCAATATGCAAACAGTTATTTTGTGACTAGTAATTTATATGTGAAAAACAAAAAACAAGAACTTCAGTGTTTGGAATCATTTTAGTGCAAAACTGTAACAAGACAAGGACGAATATGAATCTGGCTCTTTTTTCCACATAAATGCGGACACAGAACCATGGTATGAGGAATATTCCCATCATTCAAACGACATTTGTATCGTTTTGTATTTTCTCGTTGTTATTATTGTTAGGGATTGCACACTGAATTCAGTACTGAGGTTGACTATGAAATGAGTGTAACCTTTGGAAAAGCAACGAATTGACAGAGATTGTGTGATGATAACAACTCGAAATAAGTAAAATAATCTAATTTTTGGAAAATCCATATGAGAAGCTGCCAAAAATATCCTACATATGAAATATGTGTAAATAAATACAGTCACCATTTACATTTAGACTAGAATTACATGTACAATCCCTCAATATCTCAAATATTATCAAATTCTGTGACCACTTTATGCACGTAAATGATAGGAACAAATAAGATTTACCAATAAAAATTAGGATTTAAAGGAATTAATTAGCCTTATCTAACCTTGTTTTCGTTTCACAGAATGGTTTTCTCACAGATGATATGAAAAATAGAAACAGCCTTTAAAGAATACGAAGTATGAAATTATTTCTGTTTCGAAGGTATCGCTCAGGTGTATAATACAATAAAAGGATGAACAATGTCAAAGCTTGTGGTTGACTTGTAAGCGACGACTGTAAGGTTATGGATATTAATCCACCAAGTATACGCAATCATTATGCTAACATCTTACGTGCAACATCTTCAATTTTTAGATCGAAGTCAAACAGTTGGAGTTCCATCACTTCACTTAGTGGCAAACAGTAATATTCTATTTTAAACAGATCGAGTCAACGGAATTAAATTAACTAAATTGGCTACTCATCATTTATTATTGAATCACAACGAGAAACAAACTTCTAACGCATTATTACGAAACCCTGCTAGCAAGACAAATGAAATGACCTTGAATTATATCACTAACTAGATGTAAGCGAAAATTATCAGCCATTAGATTTAAATTTAAAGAAAAAATAGTGAAAAAGTGCTTAATATGAAAGATAAAGTGGTATAGATTTTAAATAAGAAGACATTGGGGATGAGTGAAAGGCTCCAAATATGTGGGAAAACAACTCCTCAGTTCATCTTTGTTACTTATTATTAGTATTATTATTGTTCTATGTCGTTGATGGATCGCGAAAAGTATCTCTGGACTAACTAATTTCAAGAAACAAAGAACTAGAGGCATATAAGTCTTTGATGATTATATTTGTGTTTTACTACAATTTTCTGTGACACGCGATCATAATCAGTGAATCACAGCAGTAATAAAGCGATAAAAGAGCACCAAACAATTGCCAACCATACTCTAGGTTATTTTCCTTTTACTAACCAAAGTATTACACAACTGACAAAAACTAACACATCAATCAATCATGATAATGAAGTAAATAACTTTTAGATTTTAGTACTTAAATTAAACTTACTCCCTTTTTATTTGATAAAGTAACTCTTTGGAATTGGCCATTTACAACATGATAAGCGAACATAAATGTAAAACTATCACCCTATATAATAAAAAAGGAATAACGAATAAAGGACAAAATATTACAATCAATATGGGAAATATCCTTAATAATCAGTAAAAGTGACAATTATTCACATTTTAGTTAACTATATATAACAATAGTATTACAAATGTACCTAGGGGAATTAACGAATAATTTTCCATTGATGTTCGCGAAAATTAAGACTTTTCGCGATTAACAGGAAACTTTTTGATCAAAAACCATATGAATAGAACACATTAAAAGAACCTAGACAGAAATGAATGCTATTTACAGACTTAATAATAGGTTGTATATACAGAATTGGTTTGGAGATTTGTTAGCTGTCATCAATTCCTGGTCACAATGTAGAATATGTTGTTTGTACGTAAGAATGAGCTGGAAAGCGAACATGGTATTGAGAGAAGACAATACGGCAATGAACCATCGAATCGCTAAATTCTAATCAGGTTGGATACAAGAAAAAAAGAAATATTTAGTGTTCTGTAAGTATGGTTTGAATCCTCGTGGTTATCCAGACCAATATTTGGAAATATGTAACATATAATATGTCTCCGAAATGGAATCCGCCTCAATTCACTGTTTGTCTGTAAAAATCTACATTACTTATGTTGTGGTGAATCAATTGTAATGGACTAGAGGAGAACAGAATTACATAAAGAGGCATTAGATATTTAAAATTAACATTCTTTTTGCAATTACACAGTGGATATCTCAAGTGAACACGTGAACAAAAAATAACCTTTCAACATTTTTTTACTTTTACCTAAATAGAATTACTTTTTTGATTGACGATTAACAGTTTCCCCTTTCAGCATTTATGCGCATTTCTTTTCTATACACACACTTATGTAGACAAACACCAATAATGTCAATGAAATAATGTTAAATCACATGATTGATATATTTCTATGATGCGAGCAAGAAGCAATTAGCTAAGCATATATGTATTAGACCTTTCTTTTTAAGATAACCTCACTAGATATATTATCGTGGCTGATCGTAGTCAATACTTTCCTTACATTACCCTAAAAAAGTACTTGGTCAGTAACACTTGATTTTAAATCGCCAAAATGAAATAAATGTATATTCATTTGTGATTTACCTTAACTATTAAGTAAAGTATTGTACGGTTAAGTACATGGAGGTAACCCATGAAATGTCTGATAATTTATAGGTGAGATTCAGATAAGTTATTCACTAATGCAATACCAATATCATACTCTAAACTCAGTATTTTTCGTTTTAATCACATGATCTATTTTTTTGATACCACTTGATCCTATGTTAACCAAATAAAAAGATGTGTGTTTGGTTTATGTGCAGTAGAGTGTATGAAATGAAACAGGTTGTTCATTTAATTTAACAATTATAAGGTTAGAGATGATTATCAGGATGATAGTATCATAGCAAATAGATATACAAATAGATTTTTGAAGCTGATTTTCAACTTTAAATGACTACTGTTATCAACGTAGAATATTATTTATGTAGTGAACGAACACTCAGGTGGGGAAGACTAATTTATTGTTTAATACAAAGTTACATAATGTCTTGGTAAAATACGAAAACCATACGTTAAATACTTCGTTTTTTTATTTTATTTATTTTATTGTAACACATAAGAATAGATACAGGGAAGCACCAAGTACATATGCGCCACACAAATCAAAATTGATTTGTGTGAGGGCTGTGATACTGCCCGGGTGCCCAAACCGAAGCAGGTGGTTTTCTTAGGGAGCCACACCCCGAGCCTTTGACCTGAACGTCTGACCCACAAGGCAGTGGAGCATCGTAAGGAGATGCAGTCCCATGGTAGCCGGTGACCAACGATTGGTTCATACGCCATTTGTTCCTTCAGGATATTGGAGCCCATGTGCACCATTGGTTTGGGGTCCGGTTAAAGCGCCAGACATTCGCTTTTCGTCCTCTCATTTTTGTAAACAACACTGGTGCCACGGGAAGGCAGTGAGTAGGACTTCCCTGGCAGAGGCTATATTCGCGAGGCCATGTGAGAGCATTTTGAGAGGGTGAGCGGACTCTCCCCACTTTCAGCCGTACCAGGGCATATCTTCCATTATTTGTCTCTTACAAAATTCATCATTCCTTCATTCCTGTTGTTTTTACAATAACTATGTTTACATTCCTGTTCTCTTCAATTCGATATTCTCAACCTTCTGCTGACAGGCATTCCACTTCTGATCGGTGTCACAGACTACTTATGTTGACAGAAATAAGTAGCATACATCATAGTTATAGTCAGAGTGTTTTAAAACAGTAGCAAGTTAGTGAAGTTTCTCAATATCTAACAATTATAAGCCTTGTTGAATTTTGAGCAAGATGAACAAGCAAACAAATGAAGGATTTACATAATGGTTAGAAGTGAATAAACAAACCAATATTTATTTACATGGTAAATGGTGTGCAAGCAAGAATTAATTAAAATTTTATGTTGGCCAGATTTAACTACAGAAGAACGTGGATATGATGAAACATTTTATGGAATATACGAGGAACGCTGGTCTGATTTTGTTTTGAAAATGTAATATTTTTTATAAGGCTTACTGACATGAATTGAAATTATTTCATTTATTAAAACTCTGGTTTTTGCGATGAATATATTGGTGGAATTGAAATACACTTTAGAACACTAACATTTTTCCTGGGACAATATACGGCTAACTGATAATAATAATAATAATAATAATAATAATAATAATAATAATAATAATAATAATAACAATAATAATAATAATAATAATAACAATAAAGACTAATAACGATTTGTACATATATGCAGATAGGTTAGAATGGGGTAATAACAAACAAGCAAATTGCTTATTTCACCTTGGACAGCACTAGTAGTGACCAAGTCGTATTTTCATGATGGGTCTATGGATAAGATGTTCATCATAAATGAAGAAATCCAAATAGACAAGTACTTATTTTATTAAATCTTCGAGGATTGAAAGGGTACTCGTCAGTCTAACCAAATGAAATTACACTATGAATTTTCATTTATCATTCGATACTAATTGCAAGATGAAACGAGAAATTTCTCGATACCAGCGCGCATATGGCTAACCCTTACAGATATATATGTAATAAAAACGATATAAAAAGATTCATATCCTCAACACTAAATGACCTAATAAAGATGATTATTCATTAAAATTTCAATCACTGTACCGGCACTTCTCGATATAATGTAAGAAAAAAAATACAATTATCACACAATACAACGTTATAATAATGTATTTAACCAACTTCTAACATTAATGGATAAATATCGAAAAGCAACCAGAACATCGTAAGACGTACGAATAATAACGATCATCGTATTATACCATGAACTGACTTAAACTTGGCATTGAAAACTACTGGTTCCCAACTCAAAGCCCATTACAAGACCTCAAGGAACTGGGTTCCAGCCCAAAAGAGTCAATACGTGAGGACACCTTAGTAGTCTAATACTACAACGAAACAATCGATCAATGTTGCCTAGTTTCCGGTGTTACTCTCAAATGATATCAAGTTGAGACGAATAATATCAAAAAAGCAAATTAATCTCCGCAATAACTATCATGAAGGATTTTGTAAAAATGATTCATCTCACTAGTACTTCAATATTTTCTAAAAACTATTCTATTTGTTCCAAAGTAAGTAGTAGAAACAGAAACAATTGGTGCAACACATATAGAAATTTTCCAGGAAGGAAAACGGTCTTTTCCTATCCATTAAATCACACACTACGAATAGCCAGTTGTACAAATGTAATAATGTGAGTGTACAACTATTTAGAATAATTTCTTACCTTCGGTTTGCATACAATCAATATTTTATCGAATAAAAATAAATATCTGCAAATTAGACAAAGAAAATAAACAAGAAATACAAATCTAGCTAGAAAAGTCAATAAAAACATTTTAGAAACACATATATACACATTTCACTAATTCATAATTCAATGTTTTGCGCTACATTTAAGTTATTGATATAAAATACGGATTTACGTAGCCAACTTTTAGTCATAAAGTTTTATGTAGACTCAAACGATGCTACTCAGTTGCCCAAAAAAGACAGAGGGGAGGGTGCTGCCTTACACAACCCAGTGATTGAAATTTACAATACCACATAAAAATTGAATAGGCCGAAATATAGTAAAGTAGGCAATAACATCCTCCTTTTGATAAAGACAGAAGTGCGAACTCATAAAACTAAATCCTGACAAAACCATTCATCAATTGAACACTGTTCTCAAAAAAGTGCAACATTTCCCAATGTGGTTAAGTAATGAGATCATACCTATTATTTGTTCCAATTAAACCATTAATTGACATTTCAAAGAAGAGAGCAGTTGGGGAATAAATACTAGTTACAGAACTTCTTAATGTGTTAAATAAAGGAATGTAAAATTACGATGCAAATATTAGTACTAATTATAATAATATATTTCATTTTGAATAATAAGCTACTTCCAACCTTTAATAGGAATAAAATCATGTGTAAAAATTTGTTAAAATTAACATTTTTACTGTTAATCTGTGAATGTTTTTCAGATTATAAAATCTATCAACTTCGGGTAATCAATCTTATTTCATCATTATTTGCTGAAATTCATAACTTAAAAGAAGTGAATAATAAATGAAAATAATTTGGAGAAAATGGTTAAAAAACACTTGTTACAGGTTATGTAGGAAATGAGTATTGACTGAGTGCAAAAAAAACATGCATTCGAATCAAGTTTTTCTAAGGTAAACATTCAAGACCATAGTAAACAAACTATCTGAAACAGCCTTTTTCTGATAGACTGATTTATGTACATAGACGATCGAAACTCGACTAAATCTTTAGTTTTGATAGAATCCAAAACTGGACTTTTTCACCCTTTCTAATCTACTGTGAACTCAAATCGTATACCTAACTACGGTGTAGACGAAATGCACGACGGTTTACCTCAGAAATTTTACAGCTTCAATGATTATCCTTTTAAAAGGATTTCGTTTTGGCCAACTTAGTCAAATTACCAATCAACCTGTTGTCTTCCCTAACCAGTTTTGTTAAACTTGGGTTTTGTCGAGATAAATTTATGCAAGCAACGTGAATAAATGAGATAACATAATGACTGGGAACAATACATTGTGATTGTGTTATGATTCGGCGAATGGATGGAAACGACAAACTTTGGAAGCTGTTCTGAAGTGAACTACCATAAATATTTTAATGTGTATTCATAAAATAATTGATGAATGGTATTTTTACACTAATTTAACTGTAACCTTTTACTTAACTCATCAACTATTGCTAGATTTTTTCCGGAAAATTAATTTCAGTAAATAATTCATTAACCTGTGTCAAGTCCCAAACTTGCAATATGAATATTTATTGTTTATAGTGTAATATGGCCTCCAAATTTATGTATAATTAAGTGCGTCTTCAGTTCCAGTGTTAATTCACATATATCACTTAATTTCGTCTTTTTGAACCATATTTTTAATGTTTATTACTATCATTACTATTAAAATTATTTCGATTTCTTTGCTATTCTGTTTGATAATTTCATTTTGTTAAGCTGATGTAGTAAGGCCAGTTAGGTCAACGCACATTTGTGGAAAGATTCAAATTTATTATAACTTACTGACTCATAGCGAACCATAATTACTAATCGTTTAAACCGAGAAAATAATAACAGTACTAACAATTCCAAGACCGTTAAATCATGTTGTAAATCATTCCAAGAGTTTGTGGATGTTAGGGATTTCAACTTGTTAGTCAATATGGACATATCTGCACCCTGAGTGGATTGCCTCGAAACTTCTATTTAATTACAACATTTTACTAAAGTTGGATAGAGACTAGCAGTGAAATCCATGATGCATCTTTCATCCTACTTGTAAGTCGATTTGAGAAGTAGATTTATAGGTACGATATTATTATTGTTTTAATAAAACAATTTAATATACAAAATAACGTAACATAATCAACACATTCAAGGTATAAAATCGAAAATCATTGCATAACTGACTTTAGTACAATATTATATTACCTAGTTTTCGCTTTGCTTTCTGATTCGGAAAGAACTTTCACTTCTCCATCCATATGCAAGTGCCCATAACTTGATAACCTTTTATCTGGAGGCTGGAAATAAAAAGTGGTGTATGTGATTCAAATTTACTTACTCAGTCAAAAACAAGTTAGTGAGAAAAAGTAATTATTTGCCGATAATTATTGATACTGTAACTTTTGCGCTTATATATATACAGGGAGAGAGATACGATCAAATGAGAACTTGGATTATTAATTAAACTATTAGCATTACACCTGAAAACCACGTTACCATAACCTACAAAGTACAAGTATAATACGGATATATCTGAATATCTTTCTGGTATTTGACTGTAACTAGAACGATTACGCTAAATTATGTAATAATGATGAACAGAAACATTTTATTTTTACTATTTTAGCCAAAAATGTGACGTAACAGAAATCTGCATTTCTGAAACATAAACACACTATTTCACCTGTATGAACCTGATTATGAATACGCGTATGTAGTGCTAATCCACTAAAGCGTCCTCCTCGCATTTAAATTGGCACAATACTGAAATTGGATTAGAGATTAAACTAAGAGTATTGAAAGAAAAATAGACTAAGTTGTAACACCAAATCAGCAAGACGGGATAAAATTGACAAGATGAATACCAGATCAATAATAATAATATAAGTGGTCGTAGAAAAGATTAAAGACAGATGTGATTAGAGAAGAAAAGTTGAATTCGTGGAATATAAAGTAAAAGACAATTTTTAGATCCAAAATCAAATGGAAAATAAAGAATAAATGTATCTGCGCTATTGTAACCGATTCTGAGTCATTTTATTTAACGTTTTTAACCTGTGATCAAGATAATCACGAGAATCCCAACCAGGTAAATATCCACAACTTCTTAAGAATTACTAAGACTTGTTTGTAATAAATATTTAAAAACTGAGAGTCAGATTTTAAAATTTTCGATGATTAGTATAATTTCAAGCAATGAAATATCGTAAACTAATTAATGCTCGAAATGCACATCATCACTAACCCAGTAGTCAATAACTTAACACACTTGATATGAAAACTGTTAATCATGCCATGTTCGCCTTCTAGAGACGTTACAGATATCGATTGTTATGAAATCCTATGTAGTACTACCTGGTTTTCAGTGGGACAACAAATGATATCAGATCGTGATGAAAATCATCCACATATTAAACAAGTCACTGTGTGTAAATATATTTTTGAAAGCATTCATTTAATACGAATCAACTCAATGTTACCTAAACTCTTTTTGGATTTACTTTATCCATGATATCTCTTATAAACAGAAACTATTCACTTATAACAACATAAATGAATATTTTCTCGATATAATATCTAATATAATATACAAACAATAAAAGATTTTACGAGTCACACGATGTGAACAAGCCATTACAAGTAAATGGATCAGTTACTTAATCAGTCACTTCCCTCCACCGGCCTATTTACTGTTTGAATTCTTATGGCCATCTATAAACCAGACATTAAAGAATTTATCTTTCCATAAAGTTTATTTTTTTCTCCTGTATACATTTAACATGATAAAGAATTAAAAGAATTGATTGCTAAGAATTGAATCTAATTGCATATTTTAAAATATCCTTTTATTAAACTCTGAAACTATATCATGAAAACTAGTGATTAATCAATCTTAATATTATGAGAAAAACTGAAAAAAAAAATTTATCTCCCTAATAAATTACGTAAAACTTATTAAGAAATAATGGTAAAGAATAAAAATCAATTGATAAATAAAATGAAAAATAAACATTATATCAAAGAATTATGTAAGAAGTAATAACAAAAACCAAAAAAGAAAAACAAAACACTAAAGATAATATCCATATATCCATATATATATATATATATATATATATATATATATATATATATATATATATATATATTATTTGAAATGGAACATTATACAGAGAAAACTAATAAAGATTCATGAAAAGAATAAGATGATATTTATTTCAATGCTAAACAACTGTATTTCATTTATTTTACGGTTGATTTCCTTTATTATTAATTTTTACTGTGGCAAGATAAATTGAAACTGATTATATCCATCAGTTTAAACTGTTATTGCTCAATTAGATAGCATTGTAAAACTAGCAGTCATAGTTGTTTAATCATAATGGTTATATGAATGAGATTTCTTTTGAATGCATCATTTAGTGTATTCTTCTTTTCAAGATACATTAAAATAGCTTTCAATCTCTGATCATTATTTAATAAAGTAGGGTGGACGACAAGTTACTAGTATATAAAAATAATTAACAGGTTAACTAAACTCTTTATTTTCTATCCATTATTTAGTGACTCTAGGTGCTGGTCTGTTTTTTTCAAATGAATACGTTTCAATCCTTACTTCGCATGTCATATTGATATGTCTTTATAATGCAGGACCATCTTTATTTCTTTTTCACTGTCATGATTTTAAGCATAGATATAGACTGAATTTTCGAAGTTTGATCACACAAAATCACTTTACATGATCAGACGACCAGTAAAGTCAATAATAGAAAAGTTGGAAAATTTACTATTATGACAATTATTATTTGGTAAATGATCATTTTATTAATCGGATGTTGTACGCAAATACATCATTTGATAAAAATTCAATCAAATACAATTAAAAGTCATGAAAATATCACACTACTACTACTCACCAGCATTATTTCAAGTAAACTGTCAAAATAATGAAAGAAATAAACAAAAGATATGGAGCACGTAAAAAATCAGCACATAAAAAAGAAAAAAATGACTAATTTATATAATAAATGAATTGTTTCAAATTATCAAGGCCACCTTGGGTATCATTGAAATACCGAACTTAGTTTGATGTATGAACAAAAGAATAAATGACAAATGGAATTTTCCATATGATAATGGCTATTTGGAAGTAAGCCAACAATAGATATATACTTGATATCATGAAAACAAACTTTAAAGATGAGAATTTATTCACACATGTCTAATTAACTTAAAGGGATGATAATTGGTGTGAGAGTAGGTTGAAAGAAATCTGTGGGGCGGTTAAAGCAAAGTATGAAGTCAGTTAATGAAGATGCGAACTGTTGGACTGAGTCATGCAGACTACCTGGTTAGGGTATGAGTGATAATCGTGACCAATGGTTACAGACTTCGGGTGACTTAGCTCAATTACAATCACCCTTCGTCCTCCCTTAGATTTTTAGTCCCTAAATCATCTCATAAATTTTTTATTCCTTTAGTCCATATTTTCTAGAATAATTTGTTCGCCGCCCAATTGATTCTACTACCAATAAAACTGTCACTACCTCTCATCGTTATTGAAGCGAAATTTCACAAATCCTGTAAAGCACTCACGAATTTGCAAAACGAATATACACTGTAGTATTCTAATCTATCATTATTACAGTTTAAAGATTCAATACGATGTTTATTTATTATATATGCGCTCACACAAAACGTATCCATAACTGAAATTAAAATGACTAATTAAAAACCGATTGTTTTAGGCTTAGATTATTTATCCAATAAATTGCAGTGATTTAAGTGATCGACCCTGGATTAAACCAATGGTATAATTCTCTATGAAAAAATTATTTATATTTTAATATCATCGATTACGATTCCTGAATAAATACAATTAAAAGTTAATTTAAACTCGCATTTAACGTTTTCGTAAAATTAGAACCTATTGAATCGGTAGAATTATTCCATATAACCATAAGTATCAATCGAAAACATTCACAATTATAAGGTCAAAACAACTATGTTAACCAGGCAATATACATAGATAATAATTTATTATTCAACAACCACAAGTAACCAATAACTCATCAAGAAAGGTGAAGCTTAATTAATAATCTAAAAATGGATTGTATGATTATAATCTATAGATTAAGTGAATAAACAAACCTGGATTGAATTTGATCAATGGAACTAATCGTGTCAAGATCTCGTTTAACATCATTGATAGATAATGCAACTTCACGCATAGCTTCGTGAGCTACAGTTAGATCAGGACGATCATAGTGATCAGCTGGAGTGAGTTTACATAGATGCTGGAATTTCAAAAAAAATACTTAGCTTATTCATTGGAACTGGTATAGTTTACTGATCTAAAAATGCTTTATGAACAATAACAGTGAACCAAATAAAATGTATTCAAAGGATTCAGAAGTTGAATGTACTTTCTAGAAGAGATCAATGTTTACCGAAGAAAAACTGAAAACAACTGAGACATTGTTTGAGTTTTTACTATAATGCAGGAACAATGAACGAAATGAGACACTCACGTTTTTTGTAGTTACAGTTATGAAGCCCATATACTTGAACACAATTTTGATCATTATAGGTATTATTATTATTATTATTATTACTAGTAGTAGTAATAGTAACTCCGTCTGAAGTCCCTCCAGGGGCTACTGCCGGCGTGCCTGAGAAGATAGTCAATATCATACAGAATTCCTATGATGGATTAAACTGCAAAATCGTGCATGGAGGACAGTTGACAAACTCCTTCGAAGTAAAGACCGGTGTTAGGCAAAGTTACTTACTCTCACCCTTTCTCTTTCTCTTGGTGATCGACTGGATCATGAAGACGTCAACATCTGAAGGGAAGTACGGGGTACAGTGGACATCTAGGATGCAGTTGGATGATCTAGACTTCGCAGATGATCTGGCTCTTCTATCGCATAGGCAACAACAAATGCAGGAGAAGACGACCAGTGTGGTAGCAGCCTCAGAATCAATAGATCTCAATATATACGAAGGGAAAAGCGAGATTCTCTGGTACAACACAGCATGCACCAATCCAATCACAATTGACGGAGAACATTTGGAAAATGTACAAACCTTTACATATTTGGGCAGCATCATAGATGAACACGGCGGATCTGATGCAGATGTAAAGGCGCAAATCCGCAAAGCAAGAGCAGCATATTTACAACTGAAGAACATCTGGAACTCGAAACAATCGGCAACCAACACCAAAGTCAGAATTTTCAATACAAATATCAAGACAGTTCTACTATATGGGGCCGAAACCTGGAAAACCACGAAAGCCATTATCCAGAAGATACAGGTGTTTATTAACAGTTGTCTACGCAAAATACTTAGGATCCGTTGGCCGGACACTATTAGCAACAACCTAATGTGGGAGAGAACAAATCAGATCCCAGTGGAGGAAGAAATCAGGAAGAAGTGCTGGAAATGGATAGGACACGCATTGAGGAAAGCACCTAATTGCGTCACAAGACAAGCCCTCACATGGAATCCTCAAGGTCGAAGGAGGAGAGAAAGACCAAAGAACACATTACGCCGGGAAATGGAGATAGACATGAGAAAAATGAACAAGAATCGGATGGAATTAGAATAGAAGGCCCAGGACAGAGTGGGTTGGAGAGTGCTGGTTGGCGGCCTATGCTCCATTAGGAGTAACAAGCGTAAGTAAGTAAGTAAGTAGTAGTAGTAGTATTGACAAAACTATAAGTCATACAGAAAAAATTCAAAGCTATCAAAAAAATCCAGATATTTAATAACTCGATTCCAGATAAACAAAGCAAAGCACATTATTAGTGAGTTGATAACAATAATCTAGTTGAAGGAGTTTTGGGGAGATTGGTTTAATTTGTAGGCTGGATTCGCCATAGATTACTCTCAGTCGGAATATCAAAGAAAACCAATGGGCATTGAACAACTGCTTTGTTCTAGTACAGAGCTCGGAATCGCTCATCCACTAAGTTCTTTATATTGTGGATTGCCGCAAGATTTAAAATTTCTAAGTTCGACCTCTAGTGGAGTCGTGAATGTGCGGTGATGAGGTCAATATTCATGATAAATACAATCCATAAATTGAACCAATCTCCTCAAAACCACCTCAACTAAACTACTATAATAGTCATAACCAGTGACTTCAAGATGTTCCTAAAGTTCGTGACTGTTGGAATTCAGACGAATCGTGAGTGCAACAGTTGTAAATAACCAAGGTAATACCTTAAGTCCGAAGACAATTTTGTACAAGACAGTATAATTAAACTGAATATCAACAGGTGTTAACAGAATACAAACAGAAATTTGATTATAGTCGATTTATTTGTCATATGTTATTTTAAATTTAACCAGTTTTCCTTAAAAGAAACCACGTCGATTGGTTTACATATTCAATCCAAGGTTAACTAATTTGATCACTAACCTGAACACAAATATTTCATGATATGATAAAAAGTTCCACCTTTCGAAGTCAGTCTAATACTCGGACAATATCACATGATTCAACTAAATTACAAGGTACATATTATTGTACCTGGCATCAAACCAAACTCTACGTGTGGGGGCAGTAGTGAAAATCGACTTCCCAAACCAAAGTAGGCGGGCTGGACTCGAATCAGCAACCTAGCAGGTGAAGGTAGAACGCCTTAACCACTGAACCACTGCTCGGGTATCAAGAATCATATAAAATTATTCGAATGATTTAACCAGTGAAAAACACACTGAAAATGTCGAGATATATGAAGAGAGTTATATTTGTACCGATTTACCTTGAGAAGTTCAGAAAAAATTGGGAAGAATGAAACATATTGCCCAGAAAACGCACTTATTCACATTTTTTTACCTAAATTTCAAACGGTATTTATTAGTGTCAGGAATCTGCCGCTTGATATTTCAATTAGTTGTGGGAAATTAAATCAGAAGAAAACAAATCTGTAGAAGCAATAAAATAAGATGTTATGTAACACTAAAAAAATAATAACTTATCAAACACACACAAGCTCACCTCTAACAAAAGGTGATATTTCAAAACGCGTTGGATTGGTATTGTAAGTAACTCAGCCAAAGCGAATTTATTGTATTTCTCTGAATTCGACTGACATAACTATGAATGATTTGTTTAAAAAATGGAAAATCAATGGACCATTAAAACAAAACAAAATTAGAGAGATTATATAAATATATCTTAGATACTTTTATCCTATATTCCGGAACATTGTTTTCTAACGAGGATGTCAAATTTAATCTTAACGTATTTCAGTAATTAAATGAGTTTTAACCTAGTCTCCAAGAATTGAGATGTCAGTTAAAAACGACAAATAAAATGCTCAATACTATTTGGGTGATTTTAAGTAAGGAATATTAATCAACCAATTCAACATTCTGAAAATAACCGTCACTAGTTTTTTTAATAATGTCATGAATCGCAAGTAGATTTATAAAGGTGTAGGGTTAAACACATAAAACTCATTTTGGTACTCCAAGGCATTCACCAAATATAAAGGGAGTAACCCATGATACAGGGATCCACAATGATGGAAACGCTACTGTAATTCACCATCAAATGATGTATAAATATTTACGAAACAACTGGTTAATTTTAAGGCAGATATACGTCCACGGCAGGAAATCTAGGAGTCGCAAAAATGATCAAAGCGAAAACGGTCATTCATATATAGTAATTTATTTTATTAACATCGATATTCCAAGCCGTTATAACATTTTGCTTCCGTAGTGCAAGCTACTCTTTTGATTACAACAGTAACACATAAGGGACAGATTTCTAAATGATTTTTTTACAACGGGATCAAAAGGAAGGTTGGCTTCGAAGGTTATAGATAATGAGAGATCTAGTTGCAAGGCTTGATGGAACAATATATCGATACATGTGGATATTGTAAAAGGTAACATTTGATTCCATATTGGAGTGAATGAAACATCAACCAATCCCAAATGCCAAAACATGGAAAGTTCTAAACTAAGTAACCGAATCACTGCTTTAAAGTATTTCTGTGTGAGTGACTTACGACATGGAATTCCAACATATGTTGGAAAGTCGTTATTATTATTTAAAAAGAGATTATGAGAACACCATATAGTGGAAAGACAGGGTTGGATGGACAATGCTGTTGAGCGGCTTATGCTCCTTCGCGAGGAGTAACAGGCGTAAGTAAGTAAGTAAGTAAGTAAGTATATAGTGGAAAAGAGACTAGTAAATTTTTTGTCAGATTTGGTTAGCTACATAAAGAATCTGATTATGTGGATTTCGTGATGAGATTAAATTGTAATATTTGTTACCTTCAGATGACCTTAGTTGGGGTAACAAATCTTTACATTGTTTGGATTATGTATCAAATATAAGAATGTTATCAGATTAATAATAAAACCTATACAAAGTAAGTCGTACGACCTAATCATGCAAAATTAGTCGATTGCGAAGGATAGTGCATCCCGATCATAAGTAAATAGGTTTTGAACTGTGACTACACTAAGAAAATTCATGACCCTGAATCCACATATATTCTACAGTTTAATCAATAAAAGATGAGTTACCTGAGTTTGCTTGCTCAATGTGCATCTACAAATTCAGCAGCTCCTGTGAAGATAGCTATATCGGGAGTACTACCAGGTAAATTACCAAAGAATGAGTGAACATCTCCTAGCTTGGTTTGGACAAACAAAAACAATACTTAATTCTATCATGGCACACCTGATTGACAGTGGGCGAATGGTGAATAAAGCTGAATCGTTTCTAGTGATTTACCGCACAGCACAAGCTATAAGGATCTGAATCTATAACCAAAGTTTATATGCTCAGAAGAAATTCGTGACACCTCTCTTCCTTCCTTGGTCGGGTGTGACTTGATACACGATTTTACTAATTTTAATATCATGTGTTTATTTGTTCCTTTCCACCTCTTTCCGTTCATATTCTTTAATACATAATTATTTACAAACTTCTTATTACTTAATTTTAATGATGCTTTGTGATTATTATTTTTAAGATCTATTTATTCAAGTGTAACTTACCTCTTATGTTGAATTATTGACTAGAGCTTTTATTATTCTACTATTCTTATTACTAGTACACCTGTCTATTTACTATTAAGTGGTACTTTTTACCTATCATGTGTAGTTATCCAATCTATTTGACTGTGATCATTTTCTCATAAATCACCTTGATTAGTTTAAAATTCTCGTACAAATATTCATGTATATTAGGGTGAAGACTGATGACGATTAAATTGAAAATAATGCTGTTCGCTTAAATGTGTTGTTCTAACTTTACATTGTTCAAAACTCACTCGCATTTCCTACTGATTTATACATCAAGGAATGTTTAACAACAAGAGGTTTTGAGAATAGTTCAAAATATAAAGAGATCTCTTAATCAAGCGCTGTCAAACTGTCAATACAAACAGAATTACTAAATAGTCATCAGTGCCATGCTCTATTATCCAGTGTTGGTTGAATTCAGTGGAGTGATGAATAAAAAATAACTAAAAACTAAACGATACAACGTTCATCACCATACAACATAAAGCAAAGGAATATGTACTTCTGCGTAAAGAACATTATTGAAAATGCTAAATACCTTCAGTTCAAGACCCAGGTATCTGATAAAAATAAATAAGACGTGTTGGAAATACTCTCACGAGTACACGAGGAGAAAGAAAATGACAGTACTAATCATCATAACTTACCTCTATTTTGTTACGTTTTTCTACATCATTTCGCATAATTTCATAGACTAAATTTTGAGCATGTTGTAAATGACCACAATATTCTCCATATATGAGAAGATTATCTCGGGTTTTAAGAAAGACATCACTTAAACTAAGAAAATTCACAGTTGCACTAGTTGCCAAACTCAGATTACTTAAAAACTCTCTATGAATAGTATGTAATTCCTGGATAAATTAATAAGAAAAGAAGTAAAACAAATGTTATAATATCAAAGTAATACAATGACACATCATAATATTTGTTTCTCGCATTTAATCGCGTACATTTACGCACACCAAAATAGTCACAGTTTCATAAATATGAATTTTTATTTTTTTATTTTTTTTTGTTTCAACACATAGATATTGGTACAAGGAGGCACGAAATACATATGCGCCACACAAATCTCATTTGATAAGTGTGAGGGCTGTGATACTGCCCGGGTGCCCAAACCGAAGCAGGTGGTTTTCTTAGGGGGCCACACCCCGAGCTTTCGACCTGAACGTCTGACCAACAAGGAAGTGGAGCATCGTAAGGAGATGCAGTCCCATGGTAGTCGGTGACCAACGATTGGTTCATACGCCACTTGTTCCTTCAGGATACTGGAGCCCATGTGCACCATTGGTTTGGGATCCGGTTAAAGCGCCGGACATTCGCTTTTCGTCCTCTCATTTTCGTAAACAACACCCCCGCCAAGTGAAGGCAGTGAGTAGGACTTCCCTGGCAGAGGCTATATACGCGAGGCCATGTGAGAGCATTTTGAGAGGGTGAGCGGACTCTCCCCACTCTCGGTCGTACCAGGGATACTAGCACATTTGTAAAGTACATAAATTAAAAATTAAATCCAACATAGTGGTATCACAGAACTAATTTATTTAAGGAGTCTTCATATTTAGTATACATTACCAATGAAGTACTTCAGGCTTAGGAATATTAAGCACCTCCTTTACTCTTAGTTTAATACTATTCAACAATACAAGCTTTCCACTACTTTCATAGATAAACCTCTTATCTTCAAGTTTCATGGTAAGCAGCCCAGTGAGATTAACTTGACTATTCTGCAGTGTCATTAAGGATGATCAGTCTAAAACTGGGGTGGAGATACGGGAATTAAATCCTTACCAAAACTCAATTAAGTAACCAGTAATTAATATAAAAGAGAAAAAATGGTGGACATTTAGTCATGATACAACACACCAACTACAAGACGCCTTCTATTGAAAACTTAAAAAGTGTATGTAATACTCCTAGTCTTCAAAAAATTTTAATTATGCTTCGGAGCGGTGAAACCTAAGTTAGGCATAAAGAGACGTTGTATATTAGCCCTAATTAGTAGATTTGTAGTTTTTATCAATAACAGTTTGTATATTAAAAGCATCAGATTACCTAATTACAAATTCATTACTTAGTGTCCATAGCTAACCGTTGTTACTGCGATGAGGAAAAACGGCTTGCGCATTCAAATACCAAAATGGCTTGTTTCACTCTTTTGCAACTAGGGATCATATGGAGTGATGGAGGTTAAAATGAGACATGCTTAGTAGCCCAGTCTCATAGTTAAGAATATAAAGCAGTGGATCAATAATCATAAGATATTCCATTTAAAATCAGAATGAGATTCAGATTTCCTCTCAATTTTTATTTTGAAACAATAAAGTGAGTTGATGAAGTAACAAGATCCTTGAAAAGCGATGAGTTGTAATGCTGAAACTTTCATACAAGTATATGTCATTTTAAATCAAGATTATTATTCGTAATCATATAAACTACACTCAGATCTGGTCAACTTGATATTTGGTAGGCTATATTTCTGCTGAAAATCGGTGGAAAAGGGAGCTAGTTTCTCACATGAAGAAATGACAAAACTAACGTATGTGCAGAAACAAATGACAAAGATAAGTGAGGAGACTCTTTCAATCAAAAGGGAAAAATACTCTGAAAACATTATCTAGGTACTAATAGGATAATAAAAAGTAACGAAATTTTGGCACAGATACAAAAGTCCTACTTAACTTTTTCGAACTCTGTCACATGTGAAGTTGAGATGTACTACCGAAGGATAGGTATGTTGTCCAACAATTTACTTTGCATTAATTTATCACTGTAAAACATGACCTAAGGATTAGAATTTAAGTTTCCAGTGAAATGGATACATAACCATGATAGTGTCCTACTTACTCTGCTGACTAGCATAAGAGTTAGTGACTAGGGGTAAGAAAAGTCATACTAAGACACTGAGTAGGTCAACTGGAGTATTACCTGTAAGCATTTTAACTTAATGTTAGCAAAACCACACATTCATTTGGGAGTAAAGGATGCATCTTAAAAATAGAGTAGATGTACTGAGAATGTTTACGTTTCACGACACTTAATTGTTCTAAAGAACAGTGCCTCAAATTATCTTCCAAAAAAGCCATATCATCTTAGCACATTAGTATCGTTATTTTGAAAAATTGGTGAGTAAAAGCAAATAAACTGAATATTTTTGAATTTCTACATAATAATTACCTCAATGTACTTGAAAATCTCTTCAATTTCGTTGTGCGAAAGAACTCCAATAAGTGGATGCTTGTATTTCTAAATCGCGATATTAATTAATAAATAATTCAACTTTCTATTCTACCTCAATTAACATTTTCAACACATCTACGTAATTTTTTTCTGTATCCACTATTTCGCGAATACAATACGCTCGTGCTGTTGTTGGTTCAGAGTCCAAATTCTATATTGAAAATTTGGAATAACAGTTATAAAAGGAAACATAAAATTACTAGACGAGATTTTGAACCTTGATACACCACTGTATCGTACAGTTTTTCTTTATTTTCCTCTTCCATCTGAGTATAATTTGGTTTTCCAGAGTCAGGTAACTTATTCCTAAAATGATGTATTATAATAATAAAAATCGATAATGATAGAATTTTATTATCTACATTGCAGCAGCGATTTCCTCAAGATTATTATAATATTCATGAGTTGATTGTAGCTTTGAATTTTCTGGTGGAAAACCACTATGTTTGGAAATAAACGACAAAAGAAATAAAAGACATACGGTATTCCAGTTAATTGTGCTCTTCTTGAGTATGATAATTTTGATAAGGTTGCAATCGCTTTGCCAAAATTTTTAGCATGATAAATATCACCAGGTTGAAATAGCAAATTTCTGGGAATATCAAATTCTTTTTCACATAACTGTGTAAATAGTCGAAGATTTTGAAAGCATAAAAACTGAGAATTTTGTGGCATATGGCTAAAATCTTTCATCGATCTTATATCCAATTCATGGTTTGATAATGTGTTTAAAAGATGGCATAAAGCAACTCCGTCCATTAGGGCCTGAACTAAGTGAATCGCATTACCATCTGGCCCCAAAGCTGGATGATCATCCGGGATAACTTGACATCTATTTAACCATTCAGCACACTGTCTCCAATCATCTTCCTCTTCCATAATAGTTTTCAAATTTACTACAAATGATACATAGAAAGAAACAATGATTAGAGCATCAAAAATATACCCATAAAACGGTTATATAATCATGGTAACAACAAAGGAAGATCAGTAATATCCCTAAAGATTATATTCGAGATTAATGATCTTAAGAATGAAAATCTCGTCATAATTGGACAATTATAATAGTTATCAGGCAAACTGGAGGGTGCACATCCTTACTCAGAGTGGCTCTTTTCACGATTTCGTGTTGGGTTTATTATATATAGCAATTTGTGTAAATATAGTACTTCAATCAGTCGGTCAGTCAGTTACAACGTAGGACCAGGCACATACATGCATCGGCCCACGTTGCCACACCCCATTAACATAGCAAGATGAACACCGATTGATAGAACCAGATAACTCAATGGTGTAATAAATAAAGGATAGATTTTATGTAAGGATATAGTGCAGAAAGAAAGTAGTTCGTAAAAAGAAAGATATGAAATAATTTTAATCTCATAGTTTAAGGGAAGACAAAGAGTGTATACACCTACGCCATTGTGGTCAGTTCTGAGCCATGTCACTCAGAGTCTCCAACCATTGGTTACGATAATCACGCGGACCCCAACCAAGTATTCTGCATCTACCAACATGGCTAAGACTAGAAGTTAGTGACTTCAAGCACTGATGCCACGTTTTGTTTTAGCAACCCTTAACTTTCTTCCAACCATTTCCAACACTAGTCAGCATTGCGCGTCGTGATAATCGGTGTTCAGGCATACGTAACAAGTATTTCAATCATGAATTCGACATTAAGAATGACGTAAGGTACTGCGAATGAAGCAACCAATTTTATCCTTATTTAAACAGATTAATATTTAGCAAAATAACAGGATTGTCTGTCACTTCAACACAAACAACTAACTAGATCTACGTGTCCGAAAAAACCAGGTATAAGGATGAAAAATTGAATATGATTGGCAACTCAAGATATCAACTGAAGAAAAATGCAGGACTAGAAATTACATAAAATGGTACTGAAAATAGTGATGTACAAACATAGCTGACGATACATAGCAGACACTAGGAAACTAGCCATACTGTATGTTATTTAGAGGTAAACGGGCTACATATGAGGAAGTTTTAATTCCTCACTTTTTATAGCAAATATTAAAACAATTTGGTGGTTTTTTTGAAGACTCCTTCACTATCAAAATGTGGAATCTTGAGCGCCTATCACCATGAAGATAGAAAATATTGCATTCTGAAAAATATAACGACAGTCCTAATGACAAGACTCCTGAATCCAGGAAGTGGCAACGGAAATCAACACATGCTGAAGCGTACCTACTTTCTGTGTCTACACCGTGTATTGTACAAACAATGCTTCTATAACAGGTAACAGTATCGATTATTGTTGTCTGACATATCTAAAGTTTGAAGACCCAAACATTCCTCTTCTCTCTTCATCAATGAACACGCAAGCAGAGCCTTAATGCAATAAGTTGTGATTGTTCCTGGTTAGTAGTAGATATGAGTGTTTATCAATTCAACAACTCTAAAAATCTTTAGTTTGATGAAGACTCATAGTTACAGGTCAAACGTTAACACTAAATGCTAAAACCATAGAAACATTTTACATACAAGAATAGTTTTGATTGGTTTTTAGACGACATTGTTTCATTAGTTCAAAACCAATTATTCATAATCAACACAGACCCTTCCACAGATGTGTATCGACCCATGTCATATTATATCAGTAAGAGATAAAATTAGCAAGATGTGTGGCAAGAAAGTCGAAGTAATTTTGCTCACAATGTCAGTGAGGAAGACTAAATATTAGATAATACAATTCAAAAAGAATGAACGAATTTGAGGAACACAAAGCATGAAATAATATGGAATATGAAAACCTAGGAGAAGAGAATGTGTTCTAGAGCGGACTCCAACCTAATATTCAGCATATATCAACACTTGTCGGTCGCAAGACAGATAACGGGGAACGTCTACTGCAACTGTGCACAGACCACAACCTGTTTCTGGCTAGCACTAACTTTCGGCACAGTCATCGCCGATGTGCCACCTCGCGTCCTCCCTCTGCATCTCAAGCCTGGACTCAGATTGATCACATCGCGATCAGCTACCGATGGCGTGGTTGTGTACAAGACTGCCGCTCCTTTTGGAGTACTTATCTGGACTCTGATCATGCTCTAGTCTGTGCCAATCTTACCTTACTTTTCAGTGGACAACGAAGTGACCGCCACCAAAGAATTGATGTTAGCAAGCTGGCTGCAACTTCTGTTGCTAGTAAGTATCGAACCGAGCTAGCTTCTAGGCTAGCTACCATTCCACCGAAAAGTATAGATGAGCATCGGTCTCGTCTGCATAACGCCATGAAAATGGCGAGTAAGGCCGCTTGCAGCTTCGCGAAACGTCCCGCTTACAATCACTGGGTTTCTTCTGGTTCCTTACAACTCATTGAAGCCCATCGGTCTACTCCGGGTAACCTTGAGTTTGACCACAAACGACGGCTGTTACGTAATGAAATTGAGCAAAGCTTGCGTAAGGGCCGAGAAACCTGGTGGTCGGAGCGTGCTAATGAGCTGGAAGCAGCAGCTGCATCTAGTAACTACCGGGAGCTCTTCCAACTCATCCGGGCCACTGGCAGCAAGATCATTATCATATCACCCTACAACAAATGTTATAACACCAACATATTTGGTATAGATCTGATATGATGAGAGGAAAAATCAATATTCGATTGATTTACTTAATATGAGTTTTATTCATCATTACATTCTTTTGATTCAATGTAATGATTACGCAATGTAATATTTCTTTTCTTTTCTCGTATGATATTTATTCTGTATAATATACAATATTCTTGTATTCCATTGACTATGAACTATACTCAGCATTTGTTATAACTGTGAGTATTTTTCATGTATGTGATTTTATTCTAATTATTAATCAAAACGGGTGTACAATCAATATATAAACGACTTCGCTCTTTTCTCTGGTTGCTGCAGAATACACTTCTTATTTCAAGCTTGGACTTCTCCCTCTTGATAGCGGGGCTGGGGCGCAGCAATAGCTAGCTCACTGGTCATTGGTCATCGAATCTCGTTCTCGTACGCAGACTACGTGAACCCGTGATCTCTCTCTTTTTCAAACCCTAACAATTGGCGACGGGGTAAAAAAAATACAATTCAAAGTCAGTCGGTTCTGATTAAGAAAAAAAAAATGACTCTCCCTTCCGATCGATTACAGCTGCTGTTCGAGCGACAATTGGAGTTCTTAGTCAATTTACGCACACAGCTGCGGAATCGCTCATGCTTTGAAAATGCGACGGAAGTGGATGGATTAATTTCTCAATTGCGCACCGAGCTAGAAAATAATTGCAGCCCTCATGAATCATTAGCAAACCGTATTTCAAACGATACAGCTGTCACTCAAGATCCGATCGGTGATCCAGTGCTCCCCACTCCAGAAACATGCGCGGTAATGGATCCAAACTCCATTATCCCCGAAACAGCATGTAAAGACAGTGATGCATCCAGCTCACAAAAGGACGCCCTGCTAAATGTTCATGGAAGTGTTGCAGTAACCACCCATGAAACAGAAAATAAATCGAGCATTACAATGAAGGCAGCTGCTCTAAATGGTTCTCATCATTATGTGACACAAGTTTCTGACGAATCTTATTATCGAGATTCTGTTTTACCAGAACATAGATCAGATGTTGATTATCTTAATGATTCATCATCTACAAATGAGGCTCCCAATAAAATTGATAACAAGATTTCAGGAGATTCAAACTCTGATGACCTCAAATTAAATGGCGTTTATCCTCACTACCCGGTCCATTTTACTGGATTCTCTGCTCAATATGTTTTAAATACAGTCAAGCTAATTGTAATTTGGGTATATGAGGACCCAACACTGTTTCGTGGGGGAGGACGAACTAGGAAAATTTAAATCCGGATATCAACTCCGGATCTTCAAAAAAAAGGGAGGTGATATGATGAGAGGAAAAATCAATATTCGATTGATTTACTTAATATGAGTTTTATTCATCATTACATTCTTTTGATTCAATGTAATGATTACGCAATGTAATATTTCTTTTCTTTTCTCGTATGATATTTATTCTGTATAATATACAATATTCTTGTATTCCATTGACTATGAACTATACTCAGCATTTGTTATAACTGTGAGTATTTTTCATGTATGTGATTTTATTCTAATTATTAATCAAAACGGGTGTACAATCAATATATAAACGACTTCGCTCTTTTCTCTGGTTGCTGCAGAATACACTTCTTATTTCAAGCTTGGACTTCTCCCTCTTGATAGCGGGGCTGGGGCGCAGCAATAGCTAGCTCACTGGTTATTGGTCATCGAATCTCGTTCTCGTACGCAGACTACGTGAACCCGTGATAGCTCTCTTTTTCAAACCCTAACAAGATCATCGTACAGGATTTTTCTCTGGGGTTGTCTATTAAAGAAGGGTGTGCCTGAGAAGTTTATTAACATCCTAAAAGCCCTATATACAAGCACCTCAGGCAGAGTGAGGGCATACAACCACCTTTCTCCACTATTCCATTCAAGCAGTGGAGTTAGGCAGGGTTGTCCAATCTCACCATTCCTCTCCAACTTTGCCATCGATGACATTCTGGAAACAGCTCTGATGGTTGTAAGTAGTGGCGGTATGGATCTGTTGCCTGGAGAAAAACTCCTCGACCTTGAGTATGCGGATAATATTGTCTTACTGTGTGAGAATTCCCAAGCCATGCAATCCGCACTTAATCAGTTGGCAATCAATGTCCGTAGGTGAGGCATGTGCTTTGCACCTTCGAAGTGCAAAGTACTCCTACAAGACTGGCAGGATTCTAACCCTGTACTCACTCTGGACGGTGAGCAGATAGAAGTGGTATAGAAGTTCGTGTATCTAGGTAGCTGCAGAAGTGCTGGTGGTGACATGAGTGATGAGATCAATGCACGTACAGTGAAAGCCAGAGCGTCCTATGCCAATCTGGGCCATCTTTGGCGCCTTCATGATGTTAGTCTGGCTGTAAAAGGTCGGGTCTACAACGCGTCGGTGAGAGCAGTTTTTCTCTATGCTTGTGAAACCTGGCCTCTCCGAGTTGAGGATGTTAGACGACTCTGTGTTCGATCATCGCTGTCTCCGAAGGATTGCTGACATCCAGTGGAAACACCATTTCGGTAATGCAGAGGTTCGGCATCGTGTGTTCGGGCACAGAGACGATAACCCAATTGGTGTCACCATCTTGAAACACCGACTTCAGTGGCTAAGTCATGTTTTACGAAAGTCGTCCCAGAGAATTCCACGTCGTGCATTATTTTCCGACTCTGGGACTGGTTGGAAAAAGTGGAGAAGTGGTCAGTGTATGACATGGTGTCGTGGTATGAAAGAAAGCTGCAAAGGGCTGGCTTGTGTTGGTCCTTCACGATCCCTGGCTGGGGTCCGAGAGACGGTGTAACGCAGTGGCTAGAGACGTTATCAGATATGGCTCAGAATAGAAGCCAATGGCGATCCTGCTGTAACCTTCTTTTACTTTCTTCATAAAAGTGGTTGTATCTTCCTGAACTGAAAGATTTCTTCCGGTTGTACCTTTCCGTTTTCCCCATTATTATTATTACACGTCCTTACACTAATCTGATCGTTATTGTTCCTCTTCGTTTTTTTTTTCTTTTACGCTTCTTACCTTCTTTTTTCTCTCCCCATTCTCATTGTTTTGTGGGGCGCATATATATTTGGTGCCCCCTTGTACCAATATTTATGTGTTCAAATAAATAAAATAATAAATATATCAACACGGCTCGATTGAACAGTCACTACCATTGTGAACTGTCATGTTTTGGCTTCACCGTTCCTAGCTTCATTCAACACTGACCATAGTAGACAGTGGTTGGATATACGTAACACACGTCCAGATACCTCAATTGGTGAAAATATATCACCGCATTAACCAACTTATTTTCTTCGTCTAGTGCCCTACTTCTAGCCCCGACAATGCTTACAAACTTGTTTCACGACAAGTTGGTAATGCTTCAAAGATACCGAGGTAAGACTCCAGCAGCTTATACATGTTTTCCAGTTCACGAGCCATTTTTTACCACATTAATACACAGTGAACTGCTGCATCGCCTCGGAAAACAGGCGTCTCACCTACGTCATGAGTGGTGTTGGAAAGTCGATTGGACTATTTTACTAATACAAACCAGTAAGTCATAACACAAATCAATCCTTAAGTAACATTTTGCAATTAGGTGCAAGAAAAAGAAGCCTAAAGACTCGTATTTGATGCTCGATCGCAGGTTTAAGCTGTTTCACTTATGAGTAGTCTTTATACAAAGTGATACCAAACCCAGGACCCGGAATATTATTTAATTACGCCACTGATGATGTAAGATGACAAGAGCCAAATGTCCTATATTTCCGTACTAAACTTTTATCCGCCGTCATCTTAATAGCCACAATGAGAGTACCACTATAGCTAAGTTAGTCTGAGACCCGAACCGTTTTCAGCCCATAAGCCCCAGTTAAATTTTGAGCATCCAAATGGATACGGTGGAATTATTATTGTCACCCACTCAAAAATTATTTTTGAAAACCTACAGAAATAACTTAGTATAACCGAGCTACTGTAATGCGATCGCTAGTATCTAATCGTAGATAAACCAATATTCTCGCTTCTTAGATTTTCCTTCCGATGAGCTTGATTGAAACATTTCAGAAATCCTTATGGTTAGTCATTAGGGCATTTAAACCTATCAATGACTGAATTTTATAACCCTTCAGATTTTAATATCCCGATTGAGGACATAAATATTGACTAAGAATCCACTGCATATATTATGGAGTTTGTTGTTGTTTTGAAGTTTAAAGCAACAGAAAACCTATACAGTCTAAGTTAATAAGCTACCGAACATATCGCGAATATGATAAAAGGAATCGAGAAAGTAGGTGTCACTGAAGATTTCAGAATCAGAAACTACCAATTTATTTAACTTGTGGAAGAATGTAATGTTTTAGGAATGTTACGTACATCAACGATCAGGGGATATTGGAAACAAGCTAATTAAAGGTCTTAGATTTATTAGCAACTTCTACACCATAAAAAAGAACTAAGACAAACTCCAACAAGTTATGTATCTAACGTCCAGTGAAATCAAGTAAAATAGAAGCTTCACTGTAAAATATGAAACTTCAAACGCTCCAAAAATTAAATTGTTGAAGCCACTAAGTTTCAGCAATCTCTGTGGTTCTGGTCAGACATTTGTGCTCGCATATTACTTACCTGATGCCCTCAGACTAATCTACTAATTAGTTAGTTCAAAATAATACAACTACTTCTAAAGAATGTAAATAATCCATGCTCTTCTGATCCCCCACCGTTTTGAGGACTTACATTTTACTAAGCGGCAACAGGTTTTAAAAAAGATACCTGATTCGCCTAGCACACCGACTTCATTTTAACGTTGATAGTCTACAAATCGATTATGTACAAGGGAAGGAAAATATATGCGCCACGTCAAGTCTTGAGAATAAACTACTTTACGGAATCCACGTTAGCTGAACGGTAAGATTACGCATTCTGATACCAAGTAAGTAGTTTTTAACGTATATATAAACAAAGTATATGCTTTGTTTCAAAAAGCCTCGAGTACTTCATGCTACCTGAGCAGTGTAAACACGTGTTCATGGAAATCGTTACAGCAACATGGAGAAATTTTTTGAAGAACCACAATCAATAACCTCTGTTTAGATAATTTCAGTTCGTAAAATTCATTAAATCTCGACTTTTAAATCGCTGACAATCCTAGAGGAGTGGGTCAGAAGAATTGACCATGGAACTGTGAAGACTCAGATAACGATATGCACCAGATTGTTCAACGAAATAACGCCAAATAGATTGATGTTTTGCATTTACCTGTATAACACCTTAAAGTATCAAGGACAAAAAGAGCTCAGTTTTTCAGACCTTCTCTGCGAAACGAAAAAACAAAGAAATCAATATATTGATAATCGCAACAAACAATAAGTTAATACGGTTTCAATTCCGCAGTGAATGCAATTGTAAAATTACAACTAATATATGCGGTAAAATGGTTTAAATGGTTCAAATGGTGATCTCCAGTTTTATATTAATCCCAGAAGTTTGTAGCACTATGAAGGTCCAAACACGTTTCCAATACATTAACAGAAGATGCTGATATTACGTGTTCTGGCAGATAACTTAAGTACTTCACTACTTGGTGAGAAGAACGAAACTTCAAACGTGGACTATTTGGTCTCGGCTTTTGGACATTCTAGAATGCCCACTTAAATTATCAGTCCTGGACGCAAGGAAAAAATAAGACAAATTAATACCGAGGTCATTGCTCAGTATATGATAAGCCAATATTAGATCACATCGCTTTCTACGGTAAGACAGCGGAAACAATTTAAGGTGTCACATTCTGTTTTCATAAGATGAGCCAGAGACACATTTTACCATTTTAGTCCCTTGTCATTGGGCTCATTCCAGCTCATCCATCTCATACTTGAAACAAGGACTCGCCACTTCATCACCATATTCCAAATGAGATCTCACGAAAGTCAGGTATAATGCTCTAAACATTTCTTCTTTCAAATACTGGAAAGACCTACGATTAGCCCATAATACTCTAAGGCCTTTCGCAGCAGTAGATTTGCATTTGCATCTATGTCTGTTACTTCTTAGATAATAGAATCCGGATAATTCTGGAGTAATGTCAAAGTTGTGGACAAATTGAGTTTCTGTCACAGATACAATAAGTAACCTTAATTTGTTCGCTGGTGTTCCTAGTTAATAGAGTTTATTCCTTAGACTACAAGCATTTGTATACAAAACTCTTAGGGAGAACGTCATATCCACACAGGCCATAATGACCTGGCTATTCAGAAACCCACTGATCAAAGATTTTCCTCAGTATTTGGTGGACTGGTTTCTAGTTCAGCTAGTGCCGTCTTCCTTGTTATTCTACTTTATAGAAGCATATCGGGTTTTACTCTAATGTCGGTAATGTCGTGACTACGAGCGCTACTTAACAGAAGATCACGTTGCTTCACTAACCTTAGGATTACCTTAAGAAGCCTATAAGGGTGAGGCTCAATATTTTTGTCGGTCCTCTTCCCAATGTTTATCAATTTTTAACCTGAACTTTCCAGACACGCTAGGGCGGAGTTCTGTCCTACTATCAGATTTTGGTAGTGTATTTTGTAATCCAGAATGGGTATTCACCAATGACTTGTCAACCAAGTGGGTGCTGGCAGCTCTTTCCTTTCACTTCTTTTTTGCCTTACGATCGTCCATTTTTCGTCACTCTGGACTAATACACCGGGACAATTAGGAACAGTGACGGTTTTATCCAGTTTCTCAATTTCTACTCTAGATACATGACTACACATATCAATATTAAGTGGAACTTCACGCTCCCTCAATCTCAACAGAGATCTTACCTTTCCGCCAATCCAGGTCGGGTGGTAACACATCTCGCAACAGCATGTACTGTATTGACACATTCTTTACTGTCAGTACATGCGCAACCACCATCTCTCTTTTAGGCCATAGCTGTGAGACCCAGAGCCTCCTGGATCAGTAATGCCTTATTAGTACAGCAAAACATAAAAAGCCGATAAGCGTTAGGTTCCAAGCATCTTTTGTATGCAGTGGAACTTAAACGGCCACACATTCTATTGAATCACTTTTTACACTCATCATATTGTATTCTTTCCTTCACAGGAAACAAGTAATTTGGCTGTCCATATTTATATGTACTACTGACCAGTGGAATCAGATTAGGAAGGTTCAAAACACAATATGAACACAAGTATCAGAGCCAACCTGAAGTAAATTAATAAAAGACAAAATTGAGCAAAAGATCGAACCTTAACCGAGATACTTCAAGTCAAGTTAGATCAATAATGCTTTTTGACGCAACACACACAAAAGCAAATTAATCACGACAAGAACTAAATCACTGCCCTTTTTGAAACACGCGCGAATAAACGTAATCGATGAAGCTTTCGCTGAACTGGCTTCGGCATCTGGTAGCAGTATATCACCGATGCCCCCACAAAAGAACCCAGATACATTTGCCGCAAAAAAAGAATTTAGCAAATTATGGTAAGATATTGTCCTTATTTCTTAAGACCATGTCAGATTTTCCCTTAAAGGACTCATGAGACGTCGCTTGGACTAGCCTAGCCAGAAGCGGACTCCAACATTTGACTACTGTTAACAAATAAATGGTGTGCCTACAGTCTGCTCAGGTGTGTTGCATTTCCAGTTTCTGGGTGTTACTCCAATATTTGTGCTGGGACTAAGCTGAAGTAGGTGTTTAAGGAGATACTCAAAGGTGTTAAGGATGCTATAAATCATTAGATCATCTCTAATACCTCTGTACTTTATTGGGTAAACGTTCAGAGATTGCAGATGGTCTTCATAAAACTTGAATTTGAGTCCACGAACTTATGTCATGGCTCGCCGTTGGATACGTTCCATAATGTCCTTATTTTTGTGGAGTGAGGGATGAAATACTATGTTTCTGTACTCTTAATGGGTTTGAAAAAAATTGTAGAAGATTAGATGAAAAGTTCTTCCGTCGAATTGTTCGAAAATTCACTTTAACTTTACCATTGAGAGGTTCGTTCGTAAGGCATTTTTGTTGCAATCAGCGCAGGACATTAGATTATAGGATACCTACACTTCTAGGTCTTTTTCAACTTCAGATACTTCTAAAAAGGAATTATCCATGTTGTGTTCGTAGTCTGCAACCCATCTCAGGCAGACTACTTTACACTTTTAAGTGTTAAAGGTAAGTTCGCTGTTGTCTGCCTAACTTTGGAGTCGAGTCAAATCCTTTTGAAGTGACAGTTCATACCATTGGTTGCAGACTTCTCTCCAGAGCCTCATATCGTCAGCGAAAAGTAATAAATCTAGAGATTCTTTCCGTGGGAGATCGTTTAAATAAATTAAAAAATAAGAGGTCCAAGTACTGAAGCCTCGAAGACCCCACAGCTTTAAATGAACGGTCTTCTAAGAAAGAATTAGATGTGTGAAATAGGCAGAGTATATCACACTCATTGTGTATACTGTCATAATGTACCTGAAAGTGCATTTCATTGGTTCAGTAGATGGAAAAAGCCTGATAAATAATGATCAACTATCACATTTTGATTTTGTGCCTTGAATTTGGTGGTATTTGAGTTAACCATCTCACTTTTACAACCAAGATATACTGGATTTAGCATGTTTTGCATCTCAGTGAGTTTGCAAACCATACAAACAATGGTTCCTATGTAAGTCTAGCAAAATGAAAAGGCGTTTTAAAACGTTTTATGGATATCTTTTGTCCATTTAAACTAACGCAACCTTAATCTTAAACTGAATATCTCATTCATTATGATATTTAAAAGTTCTCAAACCAGGTATGATTGATCTGTCAGGAGACACAATTTGTAAAGTCGCCAGGGCGAATTTGCACCATTTTCCAGGCATGATCTATGAATTGCAACATTACTTTGTCAGTTAGCTCGAAATCTAGGCCTACGGTTTACTGTCGACTACCTTCAACCGCCAGCTACATAACAGCAAATAAACAAAATTATTGAAGAATAGGAAATCGGTTGGTTTTTAGAGGGTAAGGGCTTTTCCCACCAGTTTATAACCCTCGTTCAGACTAGTAGTCAATAGGTATTATGGATGCCACAGTCGTTCGGAGTTTGATGACGTCTTTACCTATAAGACCTTAATAATAAAAGTGTACCAACCCAGTAAAATCAGAAGTCGGAAATGAAGGGGTTCGAAAATACAGTTGGTAGGTTTTCACTATGTTGAGAAGCGTTTAGTGTAAAGTGGCTGACAGGCAAGTGACCGAGCTATTTGAGATCTGTCCATTAGAACTAATTGAGTCAACATCAATGTTGAAGATGTAGAGAATATTTATTTTGAGGATTTACTTACAGTCCTCGTTTAGATCGTGAGGCACGAAAGTTCGAGCACGAGGATCACTTTTTCAAACACGTAGTGTTCTCAATATTCAATGTAGAATAATAGGAAATATGATGCCTACGCAGAACAAGGAAGTAAATTAACGCTTAAGTTCTAATATGTCGATACTACAAAGATGTTTTTTGCCGACTGTTGACTGATGTAATGTAAGTAATGTTGGCTCGATCAATTTATTAATATTTATTAATATGCATGTTATAATAACACTACAAGATGCACGTACCATTGATTACGTTCATATAATAGATCATGAGTTTAGGAAAAGCTTTACTACTTCTTTTACAACGGCTGCTGGAATGCATACACGCCTTTAACTTATCTTGATGTAGAACAGGAGATGGTGTTATCAGTTTCAATTTGGATAGGACAAGTGGCTAAAAGGCCCGTGCTAGTCCTGGACAACCACATTGATATTCTGTACCCTAAATAACTACTTGGATGCTAATATCTCCTATCATTTGTCTCTTCGAGGCCATTTGCAAAAGATTTAAAATCCGAATTCTAATAATCTCAAGGTGAGGCTCTTTGTCGCCATCCGCCTTGGCACAGCAGGTACGATGGAACACTAAAGATCGGTAAGAAACAAGTGTATAAAAAAATTCGAGAAGCTCAAAGAAAATATGAAATGCAGTTGGCACAATCAGCACTCAAGCAGCCCGAGAGAATATTCTCGTACAAAAACTACAGAACAATGATGCATCATTGGATTCCCAATCTAATTAAAGAAGGGAATGAATCTGAAATGATAGAGGAAGATCAGGAAAAAGGAGAGGCTATGGCTGACTATTTTGGGGCAGTTTTCACTCAGGAACTCCCTTTGGACAAAGAACTAGACCAAAATAAAGAGTCAATAAACCACCTGCTCACCGTGGACTTTGACCAAGACGATGTGCTTAAGGCTCTTAGCACCTTAAACATGGAAAAGTCAACAGGACCAGATGAACTACACCCTAAAATCTTGAGATATATTGCACAATATATCGCGGCCCCATTGACTGTGATATTCAATATGTCACTTAATCAAGGTGTGTTACCTATGGACTGGAAGGACACAATCGTCACTCCCATACATAAAATAGGATCAAGACACGTTCCATCGAACTACAGACCTGTAAGCCTCACCAGCGTTGTAGTTAAAATATTGGAAAAATAGTCTAATTGACAATAATGGAATTTATTGAAACAAATAACTTGTTAAACATAGAACAACATGGTTTTAGAAAGGGTATATCCTGTACAACAAACCTCCTTTTAGCAAGGGAATTTTGGATAAAGGCGCTAGACAACGGAAACTCAGTGGATGTTGTCTACATAGACTTCAGTAAGGCTTTTGACAAGGTGCCAACAAATAGACTCTTATTGAAGTTGGAAAATCTTAATATTGCTGGACCTCTCTTAAAATGGATTAAGGATTTCCTAGTAGGTCGTAAATAGAAGGTAAGAATAAATTCCTAGTGCTCCATCTGGAGACCAGTACTTAATGGCGTACCTCAAGGTTCCGTCCTAGGTCCTTTATTATACGCTGACGATGTAAAGATCTGGCGAGTAATAACCGGAGACACAGACTCATATGCCTTTCAGGCAGATCTAAATAATATAATTAACTGGTCTAAAGAATGGCTGATGCCTATCAACGCGGCAAAGTGTATCTACATGCACTTCGGGGACTCAAGTGTTAATAGGTATAACATAGGGGAAGTGCAATTACCAGTGGTTCGGTCTCATAAGGATATGGGGTTGACAGTAAGTCAGGATCTTAAGACGACGACCCATTGCCAGGAGGTCGCAGCTAAGGGGTTTCGAACCCTCTGGGCATTAAAACGGACATTTACTAAGCTAAATACTATCATGTTCACCAAAGTATACACGTCCTTAGTGAGAACTAAGCTTGAGAACTGCGTTCAGGCCGCAAGCCCGTGTTTAGAAGGAAATTCGGATATCCTAGAAAAAGTAAAGAAGGCAGCTACCCGTGCAATTCCAGAACTCCGGGGTATACCATACAAAGAGCGGCTTGAGAAGCTAGATCTCTTCACACTGTCCTATGGCAGATTAAGGGGAGATTTAGTTTTGATGTACAGAATACTGAGAGATGATTTTGGACCTGACTTACTCTCTCTCTTTCTTCCCACTAGATCGGGACATCTCAGAGGACATAGCAGGCGAGTAGAAAAGCCAAGAACGAACAAAATACCCTTGGCATACAGGTTTTCACACCGAGTCATCAATACTTGGAACCTGCTGCCCGAAGCAGTAGTGTCCGCACCTTCAATTGATTCTTTCAAGAGAAGTCTGGACACTCACAGAAGCATACTAGAAAAGGAATAACATAGGCTGTAGGCCTTCTGTTCTTACTATACAAATCTGAATCTGGTTCTGTGTGATGAATGACTGGGGCCCTCCAATGAACAGGAAGCATCGCCTTATTGATAAAAGCTTTATTTTCACAGAAAAAAATTTATTAGACGGTAATATTCCCAATGAATTGGTTAATTTAGAAAAGTAGGATTAAACACAACCTACCTTGGAATGGTCATTTTCAAGGCCAACTCTGGGTATCCGCGCATTTAAGAAGGGACGCTTCTGTGGTCTTTCATTTTTCGCGCAGTGTTGGTGTAGATTACTACTGATCATTTGGAAGTCCCTAATCAAAGTAAGAATTTGATTTTAAAAAGTCGAATAGTTGCTCTGCTTTTTGATTCGCACCGTTACCAGGACAATAATGATTTCATAAGATCCAAGTGTTCCACTATGTTTGGAAAATACTGGTTTTTACATAACGTCACCATATGATCTGTTTCCATATTTCGTAACAATCACAAAGTTCCGGCGCACTTGTTATCATTTAGTTGTGGGCTTGGAAGAACCCTAAGCAGCTTCTCTGTAACTTCGAAACATAGTCTAAATACTTATAACAGTAGCCACAAGAATAGAAAAGCTGATTTTAAGATTTTAACCTGAATAGAAGCTTTGTTTTGTTTGAACATCTCTGGTTTCTTCATAACGATTTAAGTGGTTCTCGTCCGGATATATAAGCCTATGTAGTTGTAGAAATATTTCGCGTCTAAGTCTGAGATTTTGGTTACTCTTTCAGGGTTCTTAACTTTAATCCTCCTAGATCGTACGTATGTGTCGTGCGAGAATTTTCAGAAGTATTCCTTATCTTAGCGCCTTACGTTTAGTTCTGCCTTATTAATTCCTTGTGAAGTTTGACCTACCACTGATGTGTAACTAAATGTGGAAACATATTTATGTAATACAAAATTCAGTTGATATTGACCTTGAAGTGCATTCCAACATATGGAGTTCAATATATCACTTTTGGTCATATCCAATATTCTTTTCGATCAGTGTTTGCTACACTTTTGGAGCTTGAGCAAAACGGAATACTTTGAAGAATTCTTTAAGTTAATATTCCAAGGTAATAAACAAACGCTACTGTGCGAAAAAAGGAATTTCAGATTTATTGTTGGTGAATGCCTAGGTGATATAAAGGTTCCATATCAGATAAAGTTATAAGGCTTGACCGTCATCCGAGTTTTAGTCATTTTGTTGCATACAAACCCTCTCATTTAAATTTAAGGAGTAGGTATATTGTGTGCGCTCTATGAGCGGAATAAAAATCATTACACATCGAATATCGTACGTGGTGAATCCTTTGAATCTCTGGGAGAGTAATGTACATTTCGAAAGTGAACACTACTTAAAGTGATGATATTTTTACCGTAGAGAACCTGTCTGAGATTTTTGCTGTCTTTAATTTCTTATTAGTATACTTCAAACGCTACTAGTTATTCAGGCTTTTGAATCGAAAAACCTCTTAATGGTTTGGCGAACACCGTAACGTTGTAAGTTGTTTTGTATATATGATAGTTCAAAACCCGTCTCCGGTTATTCACTGATGACGTCATGTTTAACTCTCGATAGCATAGATTTTTCCTATCAGCTATCCAATAATGAGGGAAAAACCTTTTAGACGGTAACTGTTAACCATTTAATAAGTCACAGTTTGCTTGCCATTACTACTTCGTTGTGTCATTTTGAATGTATCTAGTATATCTTTGGGTATCTGGACTTGGTCAGTTTTTTCGGCGCATTTGATTCGGACACCATCTACCCATTCTTAATGTTTATTTAAACTTCCCCATATTCTTTAGTGAGCACTTCCTTCTCAAATCCTCGTAAGCTTTTGAATTTCATTCTAATCTCGTGAGTTTTATGGAATGGGATGTGCTAGTCTTCTACCAAATTTATTCACATTCCATGTCGTTTCTCATCTTGAACTGTTTACCTGGCACCATAATTCAAAAAGAAGTTTCAGTACACAAAAGTTCATTCACATTGGTTTGTCTTGTATATGCATTAACTCTATATGTTATGCTTTAAGCTGTGAAAATTTTCGCACTAATTATTTTATGGTCTTTATATTTTATTATTTGCAATCCAATATATCTGTTTATTAAACATTTTAGTTTGTGGGTTGTAAAGTTGACATTCTTTTTTCCTATTAACGTTTGAAAATGGTTATCTTCTTTTAAATGAGATTAATATACAATCGTTTTTTATCCTGATATTTGTTGTTTCCCACCATTCCACAAGTGGTTGTTTTACAATTAATTGGAGCTTTCATGAGTTCAGTGGTTATACAGAAATGGCTTTCTGTCTATTAATTTTCCGCTTAACCTAGGGTTATGTATCAGTAGTGATGCGATGTCTAACATGTTATTTTCTCTCATCTGTCCCTGCGTTGTGTGGTATCTTGACTAACTTTTAAATAGTTAACTGAATAAACATTACTTGTGTAGTTTTGTTGTCATATCACAACCCGTTTCATCCTTTTTTTCACCCAAATTGAGGTTTCTCTTCGTTTTGCTCTGGGTTTTGTGTTTTCTTTGATTAATGTAGTTGGATGTGCCTCTTAGTCCCTCCTTAAAGTCAAATACTTAATTGTCAGTATCTAAAAATTTCAACGTAATTAGTTGTTAGGTGATCCTTATTTCATTTCTCGATTAACTGTTTACGTGAAAGATAATTTGTTGTCTTGTTATCTCAAATAACTTTATTTTAAGCGGTAGTTTTATTTTTCTAGCAATGTACAAATAAATAGATGGTTCTGTTTCTGATGTTCATTAGTTTGACTTTTGATCCTTAGTTTCATGTAGATTTACACATTTACTCACTTTATTCAACTATCAGTTAACTATCATTCAAATTGGTGTTGAATAGAATAAATAGGTGTTTCTTATCTTTCTTAGGTAACGTGCTTTTGTTTCGGTCTTTCATTGAAAACTCGGCCATAAGACATGTGCTGTCTATATTGCTGTGAAAACTAAGATAGTTAAAGAAAGTGGAAGCAAAATATAGAAATACTAGTCAGAAGATAAAAGATGGTACTATCACCTTTATAGTAAATAAATATTTGCTTAGAAGTAATCCTGTCTACTCAGTACACTAATATACGCCAATGAAAGTCAACACTTTGTTAAAGGGTTAAACGAGGTCTGTTAGATAGGTTGTAACTAGATATTGTCAGCTTACTAGAGACTATTAGTTAGTGTCAATGTTACTGGATTTTTACATGTTCCACTTTGTAATCTATTTCTAGTTGGTTTGTTTTAGTATCAGAAAACCTTATGGGTGTTGATTTTTTTCAGGCTTCTTACATGGATAAAAAACTGGCTGAATCTCTTGAAGAGTGGATGAAGTATGACAAGGTAACTGCCTTTTCGTTTTTATGTTATCGATTTTGTTTAAGAATGAAAACACGCGCTCACAAATCAAGTTACTGAAAGAAAAAGAAGCGTGGAATGAGTTACGGAAGTTATTGCTAGAAAGAATGTCATTTGGGACTGCTGGTTCGTATAATTTAGAGTTTCACTGATATTTTTTAGGATTACGAGCAAGAATGGGACCAGGATATTCTCAGATGAATGATCTAACAATTATACAAACAACTCAGGTAGTGAAAATTAGTCTTAATCCCTATCAGTTTTAAGGGTTTACTTAAGTATTCGCTAAAAACATTCTCAGGTCTCAAGTCAGATGGAATTATAGTTGGTTATGATGCTCGACATAATAGTAAAAAGTAATCGTTTTTTCAACTAATATGTCCCATCCATCTAGATGGGCGCTTATTGTCGCTAATATATTTATTAACGCTGGCTGCAAAGTGTACTTGTTCAAAGATACATTCCCAACTCCTATGGTCGCATTTGGTGTTAGGCTCTTCAAAACGGCCTTGGGTGTTATGATTACTGCATCACACAATCCGAAAGACGACAATGGTTACAAGGTAAATGTAGCTTTCTTAATCTAGTTTTTTAAAGGTTTACTGGTCGAATGGATGTCAGATAATCAGTCCTCATGACAGTGGTATATCAAGTTGCATCCTTGAAAGCTTGGTACCTTTGGAAACTTCATGGAACATAGATAATATTGAGGCGAATCCTCTCTGCTTAGATCCAATGCCTAGGCTTTTGAAAACTTACTGTCGACTACAGAAGAGTAGACTTTGTTTTACAGAGTAAGTTGTGATTTTTTTTTACCATATATATATATATATATATATATATATATATATATATATATATATAACTCCTAGTTTACACAATAGGGAAAAATATTTGATCGATGAATCTATCTTAACCTGTGACTAGATAGCCTCCTTCATACCTCAATAAATGTTTAACGAAAAGAAATAATATATCCATTTATTTGAAATGTTTTGTTCTAAAGCAGATTGTTGTAGCTTTTCCATTGTTTCTCTTCCGAATGTAGTCCACTATTATTGTGTGTTCATATTCTTGGAAAACTTCAAACTACCCGTTATTCTGCCCTTGAAAACGTCTCTGGTGGAATAAAATGGTTCGCAATTTTTCTTTTGCCGACTTATTGACCATGTTACACAAAAGTTGCTAGTCTCCGATCTGCATCAAAGTCTGAGTATTACAGTGGTTGGTATTTTAGTTTATTCATGGGATTTTGGGAATTATTATGCTATTTCGAGCATTGTTTTTTAATACTTCTAGTTCTATAAGCCATGCGACGAAGCCATTCTGAGGATATTTGTAGGTATCATTACCGAGGTTTGATTTGATAATTTCGAATAAATTGAGCATTGGGTTGATTGTTATAAATAAATAATATATTTGTAATTTCCCAATGAGTAGAAAATTAGATTTTCAGACGTTTCGTGGCTTAGTGTAAGTCACTTCTTCTACTCATTGGGATATTACAAATATATTATTTATTCATTCTGAGGATATTTGAGGTCTCAAGAAAATTCTTTTCTGTCAGCTTAAAATTCTTGATGTTCAGGACTGAAACTCTGGATATTAGTGCTCGTTTGTTAGCTCTGGTAGTAACCAACAATTTCGACTATCTCGAGAGTTCCGACCATACAGCTCAAGGACAACATAATCCTTCCCTCTTATCATCTAAAACCAAATATGGTATGTAGAAGTGTGGTACGTCTTAGTTCTATCATCCTTGAGAACTTGACAGTGGTATTTTTTAGTATTTTGAATTCAACTAGTATACATTCTTGTTTTCTATGTGAAAAAAGTGTATAGGATGAACACAATTAATCAACTTTCCTTCAAAGTAAGACGTACTTATAATGGTCTGTAGTTAATTTGTAGAGTATATTTTTTATGTTCCTTCCTTTTGGTTTTGATTATTAGATCTGAAAATATAAAATGCAAAACGCCTTTTGTGTACACGCCTATGCATGGTGTAGGTTGGGAGGCAGTTAAAACATTAGTTTCGTGTTTTGGGTTTCCTCCACTTGAACCAGTTCCTGAACAGGTATGTTCTGGTTTCCTGTAATCTGATTTTTGCAATGTATATGACGTATCGTAGATATGTAAAAGTTTCCAACTACCCCTCTACTCTATTAATACGTGAACATAATGTAAGCACATTCAAAAATATATGTTGCTCATCAAACAAGTGTAACGCTAATATTACTACGAGAATCATTTAACAATTAAAGAATTCCCTTCACGCCTAATCACATAGGAAAAGTCATACTTAGTTCAAATCATTCCGAGTTTCGAATACAGATTCAAATTAATGAACATATTGTAATATTTCGATGACTGGCACTTCAGTAAAATACTCCAGTAAGATTTAATCTCTTGGCAAATCACATTCTCCTTGTTGTTTGAAGCGGATCAAAAATTTTCAACGGTATTCTTAAACTTTTATTACAAGTTTCAAGCTTGTTGATCAACTATTCTAACGAAATAGCTTTTCGATGTTGTTATGTTTGCTAGTAACATCAGCCACTGTCTACTTAAATACTTGCATGGTATTATTGTTAATGAAACTGAAAAAACCGTATTGATTAATAAATAGATTTTAGCCCAAGGGAAACAACCAACCGTTTAAAATGCTTTGCAATTTGATTTCTTTAATGCTCCTCAGGATACGTATAAGTTGTTCTATTTCAATCAGGACTCCTATTTTCAGGCTTTTCGGCCTGGATACAAACTAGAGGTTAGGCGTTCGCGCGCGGGACCGTGGATGCGCACTGCTGAGGAGTCATCTTCAAGTTCTTCCAGGTTTTTGATGATGGTCTAGCTTAGATTGACTCGTGAATTCAACTTTAAAAATACTACAATCTCCACAAATCCCCTAAAGTCTATAAACAACTATTAAACCATTGATTCTTGTTCCAATAAATGACAGTTTTAATTTGAGTTAATTCATGGTATATCCTAACTGATTCACTAGTATCAATCGTAATCTCAGTTTTGGGAATGATCCAGTTAGTACCAAAAATTGGAACTCCATATTGGAATTTTAAGTGCTTGTCACCAGAGTTATGTCTCTATCAACTCAATGTTTTCTAATCGTTTGAATTTATCCTGTACTACTCTGAAGAGTATTGATTTGTTACTACATATGTTTCAGTTTACAAGATATAAAATGATTTTCACCAAGAAGTATAAATTGATTTTCGTTATAGATTTCTCAGTGATTTAGTTCATATCTAAAACTCACTCCAATTTATGCTTAATATTGGAAGTTGTACGGGGATTCATATATTTAATGGGGTTTTGTGAAATAAAATCTAGTTAATTCTATTCAAATACATCGATAAGAGTTTTTCTTACTGTCTATCCTAGTGCGTGTGTCGATAATCACTGATTTTTATACCAGATTGCTTTTTAACAATGTAGATTTCAGCAATCGTGTTGACTTGCTTTATAAGCGTATCACCTACATAAAAACTAACTCGAAAAATTCATAATTTTGTACTTACAACTTTTCTTTAAAATCTCTAAAGGTAATGCCTGATCCAGACTTTCCAACTGTTGACTATCCGAATCCAGAAGAAGGTCGTTCTGCACTCAATTTAGGTATTAAACATGCGGAATCCATTAAAAGTACCATCATTTTTGCCAATGATCCAGATGCTGATAGACTAGCAGTTGCTGAAAAACAAACATCGTAAGTTGATAAACACATTTAGTCTCAATCAGTTAAATAAAAACCGTGCTGTACGTTTGCAGTTAGAATAAGCGAAGATTTCTTTGTAAACTTTATATAAGTTTCTTCTTACCTGAGGTAAATCTAAATCAGTTATGGTAAAATATTTACAATTGATTGGTCACTATATAGTGACCAATGTCGCGTTTGTCCATTTGTTTAGTACTGATCAAATGTTGTCCATCAAGCTGCAATGTGGTCACAAGCCTAAGTGACTCGACATCGCATGCACTATGTTGATATGTTGGGTGGTTAACACGTTTGGAAGTTGTCAACAACGTACACTTGTAGTTCTGAGGGAACTTATATTTACTGGTTGATTCAAACCTGCGTCACCCAGCTTCACCTATTCGGACAGCGATACGGATTTCGTATATCAGTTAATTCCTACTGAAATTAATTCCTGTTTATCAAGCCTTACTCTTTTATTATGATGCTAGTTACGTCAATCCCTGTAGTAATAAATCTATGCATCTATCTAATACTAGTTACTCCAGATTACTAACATAATTTTTGTGAAGATCCTTAGACATATTATGTTTTCAAATCCAAACAGACCATTATACATTTTGACCGAAAATGTTTTCCTTGCTACAAGTTAATATTTTATGAATATTTTACTAAAGAATATCACATGTATTTAATTGGTAGTGGTCAATGGAAAATTTTCAGTGGTAACGAACTTGGAGCTTTATTTGGTTGGTGGTTAACCTTGCAGTGGAAAATACACAATCCTCAAGTAAAACGTATGTTATTACAAAAACACATTATTCAAATTTTGAGGCGTTTTCCTTTATTAATCTGGGATTCAATATGGCTTTTTAAAAAAAATAATAAAAGCTTGTTTAACTAATTCAATTTACTGAAGCTAAGAGTTAAATTAGATAGTTATTGTATTTTTTGAATAAAGCAAAGTTATCATAGTTAATTATATGCATATAAACCTTGTGATACAGATCTTTTGTTCCACAGATGTATGGTCTGATCTCTTTTCCTCTACACCTTATATTGGAATTTATGACATCCTGATATCCTAAATATTTTTATTTTCACTAGTATTAAGCTAACAGATTTGCAGTTTTAGAAATCTATTTTTAGTGGGTTAATTTGATTCTTATTGGTTAATTTCTGTTTTATCCAATCAGCCCAATCACATACGTAATGGTACTTAGTTATGATTGTTAAAGTAATATATATATACTTATTTATTTTATTTAAACACATAAGCATAGGTACAAGAAGGCACCAAATAGATATAAACCACATAAATCATCCGATTTGTGTGAGGGCTGGGATACTGCCCGGGTGCCCAAACCGAAGCAGATGATTTTCTTAGAGGACCACATCCATAGCCTTCGACCTAAAGGCCTGATCCACAAGGCAGTGGAGCAACGTCAGGAGATGCAGTCCCACGGTAGCCGGTGACCAACGATTGGTCCATACGCCATATATTCCTTCAGGATACTGGAGCCCGTGTGCAGTGGCTCTATACGCGTGGCCATGTGAGAGCATTTCGAGAGGGAGAGTTGACTCTTCTCACTCTAGGCCGTACCAGTGCATTTGGAGAGCGAAGACCCATTCACTATTCATTTTACTTTATATTTCGAGTTCGAGCATTCTATAATACGTACCTTCCATTTGTTCTTCTCGAACTATATTATTAATGCTTAATCATTCTTATTTTCATTACTACACTATTTCGACTCCATTTGTATTCTCATGGTCAGCTTCATCTTGGTCTGTTATGGTATAGCAACTTCTGCTCATACACACGTATGCCAGGCTCTACTTTGATTATGACTGACTGATTAGAACTAGTGAAATGTGTTTATGTTACGATGATGTCTGAAAATGCTTTAGATTTGTTGGGTTTCACAACTCATCAATACCTTTTCATGACACAGTATACTATATTTTTTATTTCTTTTCTCTTTGTTAGTGTCTAGTTGACATTCTAATGTATTATCTGTTTTTTTGGTCGTTCAAAATTCATTATCATTTATGTATACGAATGTAATGCGTTATTTGATTGCTGTTTGTTAAGGTAATGGGCGATTTATTGTAAAGAATTAATCTTATCGATTCCGGTTGTTACGAAATAGCCGAAGTATTGTTATCCCATAGATTCTTCATTGTCATGCTACTCTATTAATGTTTAGAATGTAGGTACTTGGTTTTTATTTTATTAAGTGCGCGGAGTTCGATTGTTGTTGTTGCTTTTTTTCAATACCAATCCTGGTTAGCTGACATTTTTGGAAACTTGTGTAAATTAAAATGGTATATGTAATAAAAAATTCGTACAGTTAACTGTATTTTCCATCTACATAAAATACATAAAATATAAAGAATATTCATAAACCATGTAATTATTTACTTTGTTTATAGTTGAATTCATAAAAATTAGGTTCATATGAGCTAGTTGACTTCTTAATTATCTTATAGACTATCATATGTTTATACAATCGATACTGTTAAAAAATTCTATGATTTAGAACTTCGGGTATATATATATATATATATATATATATATATATATATATATATATATATATATATATATATATATATAGTAATGATGACTACAAACTGTTGAATAAAAAACTAAGTGTATTCAAGGTTTTTATGAAATAGAATTGTCAAGATACTTAGTAATCAGTCATATTTTGGCTTCTAGTTAGATAGTGCTCATCAGGAATTGAGATTAGTTAGGAAAAACATTGAGCATCATAAAGAGTCAGATAACAAGTCCTTGGTCTGCGACTGATGTCAATGTGTAACAGTGTATTTTCCGAAGGTTTTCTAACATCCAGTGGCAACAGTATAGTAGTAACGCTGAGGTTCGGAAATATGCATTCGAGCTTAATGATGGTAAATCACATAGTGTCACCACCTATAAACACTGACTTCGGCAACTTGAAAATATTTTGCGATCATCCCAGCTACCTCTGTATCATTCATTATTTGCCGATACTGCGTCGGAAAAGCCAAAAAGTGCCCTGTTAACGGCACAAAACAGTGGTGTGGGAGCAAGTTGTATAGGACTCCATAGTTTGGGTCCTAGAGATGGTTTAACTCAGTGACTTGTGACAGTATCAGACATGACTTCAAGTAAAAGCCATTTGCTATCCTGCTGAGGTTTTGTTTCACTTTTATTAAAATAAGAGGAACTTCCTTAACCGAAAACTGTCCTTGGTCGTATTTTTAACTAGACCGTATCTCCTGCTACGTACTATTCTTGTTCACTGATTTTTTCGATTGTGCCTCCTTTCACCCCTCTATTTTGTATGGCACATGATATTTTTGGCACTTGGTTGTATCAGAATTTATATTTATTAAGTATTTATATATATATATATATATATATATATATATATATATTCGAGGTGACTGTTTCACTTTTTGTCTCATACCGCTGCTAGATAGAAATTTGTTATGGCATCATTCTTTGGAATGTCGAGAAATATCTTAAGCTTAATAGCGAAAGCAAACTTTTAACGATTGATTTTGCTATATGCATATCATTTTCTTTAAAAACACCACAACTCAAAAATGAACAGTTGTCTACCAAAATTCACAAGCTAGTTAGACATTCCTCTTAAGAAAAAGTTTAAACTACTTTTTCATTCATTAGTTTCATTCTTATTTTGAATATTCAGGTCGAGAAAATAACAAAATTTTACTGCCCAGTAATATAGCTACAAGAAATTATTTTTGAAAAAATACTTAGACAAAAGTTATGTGGTAGAGCAGTAGTAACATTAATGCTAATACAACATTACTTAATCTGTTACCTTTTTGTTAAAGTTTTTAGAAAATTAAACATTGTCTATTTGTTGTCAAGTTTAGCTGTTACTATCCTTTCGTTTTAATTTTTACATGAAAAAACGTGTTAATTCTCCTGTTTTGTGTATGTAAACTTGTATCGAATAAAACTAGTCTCATATTCATCTTAGGCTGATTATGTATTACAGACTATATTTATAGAGGATAATCAATATTCTTGGGAGATTAACAGTTCACCTTTTGCTTTTTTTATTCTCACGCATTTAGTTTAATTTTTTATTAAACATACAGTGCATCAAAACTTGTCAACTGTTAGCCAATGTGAAATAATGATATTTCTGAAGGCCTTTTTTTACAAATCAGATTTAACTATGCCCAAAAGCGAATTATTTAAGTTTCAAATAGAATCTAAGTATTGTTTTTTTACAAAACAGTACAACTAGTACAATCGGAAAACCTGTATTTGCTGACTTGCATCATATTCAAGAACTACAGGGTTTACTAAAATAAACTATAGGTACGTTTTGAAGTCAGAGAAGCACTAGTTTCCTTATGGAAAATTAAGCATTTATGTTGTATATGTAAGAAAATGAATAACTTTACGTTCAATAATTATTATTTCTATCGATTCGCATTAAAAACAATTTGAAATGACTGTTCCTCTGGCTATTTATTTATTTATTGACAAATATAATAGTGTTTTTTAGGTTGAAATGATTAATTCCCCAATTGATTTTTATCGTAGCGTAATCTTATTTATTCTATTTAAGTAACTTTGTTGTTTTCGTCCGGAACGTTTATCTTGTAAGATACTGGTCATAATTGTTAACTTCCTGATCTTAGGATCGATTATAGACTAACTTTAGCAGTCGGAAGTAAATGATCCTTCTTTTGTCCATCTATGTTTCCTGAAAAAATTTTAGACCAAGCAAAATATCGACCATTGTTATTATGGAGTATATATAATAAATTATTTACTATTATTCCCTTGTTCGCTGTTTTTCCTAACCTTTGTAAGAGTTTGCCTGTTTCAATCACTTTGCGTCAATTATTCTACAAGGAAATAAAGCTACAATCCCTGCAAACTTATCAGATTCTGTAGTGAAAGTATAGCTTCTAAGAGGTCTGTGTACTGCCTACCTCTTTTTAAGTCACGTGCATTACATCATGATTACTGTAGTTAGGACTTTTTCCTGCCTTAACACAGGAAACCAAATTGAACAATTCTGGACTTCGGGTAAAACCATTGGAAGCGGAATCGCCATTGCATTTTCAAATGAGTTGAGTAACCAGTTAAGGTTCAAGGGATGGTGAATGTATGGCTGCATATATTTCTGCAATATTATACCCATCTATAATCATTTCTAGGTCGACCATGCATAGAGCAAGTAAACTACCAATATGAATTAAAGTTGTTTAAGTTCTATGTGCCATACTTAAAATTAATGCAACTAGAACTTGAAGTGTATTTTAATAGAATTCCCCAGATTAAAGATAAATACATATTTTAAAATCTTTTAATTTATGATAGTTCTACTACTAGCATATACTTTTTTACACTTTACATCACAAACTGACCTCATTTAGAGAACCATTGGAAACTCGGCAACATTGGATAGCTTTTTCGTCCGAACATGAGACTGCTCTGCATTGCACATCTTCAACCCCACCGGGAATCAAACCCAGGACCTTTAGGTCTGGTAGCGAGCACTTAAATTTTAAACCACTGAATGGGTATCCAATTGTTTACATCTCTAACTTCAATCAATTCTTTATATCACGCAATCATTCTCCAGTGCCATTGGTTAGTTACTGTCTCACTCTCGTGATGGTTGAACCCCACTGGTCACGATTATCTAACTAAGGCCATTTTGTGATATAATCTATGGAATTCAACAATCTCCGCAAATCTGTACTAATATGCACTTTCTCAAAAACATCACCTTTTCATGTGTACTGGTCGTGTATGATCTCTTTTTCGAAAGTTTCAGTTTCTTTTAAAAATGTTGAGGCATAGCTCTACCTTATCTATTCTACGTTTATGATAAGATCTATTCAAGGTCGTTAAAATTCCTTTCTCATTTGTATGTTGAATCAAGACAAACATACTAGTCACTGTCAGACATTTTAATTCACTAAATATTTGATCGAACCACGAATCAGAGTATAGTCGAGCCGATTTTTCGGGCTTATTGTAGGATAGTACGACGAAAAATTTCAATTTGTGTTTCTTGCCTTTCACAATCCACATTAAATTTTCGACCACCAACACTGAATGCAGTTTCTTATTATTACCGTGATGTTTGTTCAATGAGTTAAAATCGCAGAGCATATAGTCCACTGTAATATATAATTTAATTTTATGTTACTATTTTACAGCTTCCAGTGTTGCTGTATTATCTAGTACTGTGTCTTCTAAAATATTAAAAACTATTGCCGAACAAGAAGGATTTCGATTTGAAGAAACTTTAACTGGTTTCAAATGGTTGGGTAATCGATCCTGTGAGCTAGAATCGCAAAATATTAAGACAATCTTCGCTTTCGAAGAAGCTATAGGTAAGATTTATCATTATTCCCTGTTATACACTATTCTTCCTGTGACTTGTTTGTCAATAACAGAAATCATAAATATCTTATGGATTCAAAGGTATATTTTATTAGATTGTTTTTTCTAAACTATTTACTCTTTTGATGACACTTTGATTTAATATCGAATTTCCTTAATTTTCCGTTTACTAATCTGGGAATTATATCTACCTACCATATGTTTATTAATAGAATTCAGAATATAATCAAGACCTTTAAACCTTTTGTTTTAATCATACGTTACAACTGCTTCTTTAAGATTAATTTACACACACATCTAATTCCACTGTGATTATTAGAGTGGTTCATTGTAGGTAGATTAAAGAGAGTTAACCTAGTCAGGCTGGTGCAATGAGAAAAGAGAATCGAGATTTCTTTAGTAAAATACTTACTAGTTTTGTGGATATTTTCTTGTAATATTATTTGGTTATCCAACCATTTAAGTATACCATCTTATTAACAGATATACATTAACTAGGAAACACAGAAGAAGCGATATGAACCAAAGGATATTTGAGACATTAATTCGCGTGCACTTCCACATTTGAAAATCTAATTCACTTTAAGGTAATAAACTATACAAGTTCTCATGTCCTGAACAACGATTAAGTCTAGCTGAAGAATAGTTGAAGTGGCATTCACTTGTTAATAATTTCGGCACGTGAAAGAAATGTTTTAAAGTTGGTCATGAACGAATATTTAAAACTATTTTCAATACATTTCAAGAAATGCACTATAGCTACACAACAAAACTGAACTATAAATCACCGCATGTAGATTGGATGACTGTAATGATGATTTCGTTTTTACTAAAAACGATAAATACCTGAGTATTTTGCACTATATTTGACAATGTTTGGAATAAGATTCATTCCTGTTCTTCTTTTGTCTTCTATGTTGCGACTTGGAAGGTTCTGGCGTTCGAGTGCTCAAGTTGTACGTGGTATTGCAAAAATCCAAGTTTTAGATATAACAAATAGTAATCGTGATTGCCTAATAAATTTTTGTTTAACAGTCTGTGACCAGCAAGTTAAAAAGAGATTGGTATACTGAATTGTACTCTAGCTCCATTTTTTTTTCGGTATGCTTTTTAAAATCCATTTGCTGTTGTTCCTTCTGTTTTTATATTAGTCGATATGATTTTACAAAATTCCATTAGTTAAATCACATTTCAGTTATCAGTCTGTCATGGCTATTCCATTGTTTTTTATTTAACTTCGTAATTATTTGATGATATATACAATTTTGTCAGTTAATTAATTAGTAATAACATACAATTATTTTTCCATGGAATGAAAGAAATCAACATTGTTTATTTTTTAAGCTTTAAACTTTTTCTTATTCCGGATAACTTCACTTCCATAACCCTTGAATTTACTCTTATCGTCAGGTTTTATGTGTGGTGATGTTGTCTGGGATAAAGACGGTGTTGGGGCTTTAGCAGTTATGGCTGAACTGACTTCTTATGTTTATCGTAAAGGAAAACTATTATCTGAGCAATTAATAGAGATTTATAACATGTAAGTGTTAATAAATGGATTATATTCAGATCTTAGCCTTTATTGAATTTCGTCAGAATGGGGATTTGTGAAGATTGTACTAATTTTGATAGTTGAATTCTTGAGTCGATCTAAGCTAGACCACCATTGAAAACCTTCTAAGGAATTTTATACTAGGACGAAATGGCCGTTCAGTGCTTCTAGGTTTTCAGTTGTAGTCTGGCTTAGATCGACTCATTAATTCAACCATTAAAGCTTATTGATTTATTGGCTGGTAAAAACACTATCAAATCTTAGGTCCACAGTTTCTTAGGACTATTTGGTTGTAAAGACTGTAGTTTCGATTCAATACTTGGTCATTAAGCTCTGACATGAGGGGGGAAGATATAGTTGATCATTTATAAATTTGATATGATACCATGTTCAAGCAACTACTCAATCAATGCCTATTGTAAACTCGGTAAATATTTGTCAATTAGTTATTCGAATAGCGACACCCGATATTTTGTTCATCCTACTCTCTTCTTTTTCACCTGGAAGAGTCTAATCACTTTTGGAATAAAATATATGTTTCCAACTAGTTACTAAGACGATCCTAGTGCGTTGTACGGGGTATCATCTGGCACCTAAATCAAATTATATGGATTAGTGTCCCCTACATTGATGTCAATCATCCTTCTACGAATAGCTTTAAATATCACATTATTTCGTCTTTACTTTATTCTCTCTGCAAACTACGTACTGTTGTCTATTAACAGTCAAACGTTTGACTTCATTAGTGTGTTCGAAATTCATAGTTTTCTTTTGAAGATAAGTTTACTGGGTATACCTTTGCTGGGTTTCTAATTTTTTTAATTGTCATGCAGTTGACTTTTTGAACTCTGTTCGTTCATCATTATAACGCTTTTCTTAACTTTAAGCACGGACGCACACGTACACACCCTTTTTTCACAACTGATTACTACAATCTACAGAAATGAATAACCTTAAAGAATTGATTTTTCCCCTCACATATAATAAGGCCATTAGTGATTTAATTTTGATTTAAAAAATGCATTTGGGACTAATTCTCTTTATAATTCATTGGTGTTAACTAACTGAGCAACCATACCTTTTCCTTTTTCTTTGTTTTATGTAATAATATTTTAAGTTTATGAATATTTGTCAGTTGTTTCTCATTTTTGAATTGGCTAGATTCCATCAGCTGATGACATATCCACATATTCTTAGATTACTTATACATTTTAGTCAACTTCCAAGTGAATTAAATTTGACTATTCGAGAGATCTTGAATTTTTTCGAAATCAGATAAATGCATGATTTTTAAGAATCAAAGTCGATAAAATGTTTTGGTCCATAGCTTCCTATTGATTAACTCGGAGCATCCTATACTATGTTTTTTGAATACTCGATGATGATTTTGTTGTCATTGTTACTAGTAACGACGCATAAAATTTTGGCATCCTAGGGATTTTACTTCATCTAAACTCAGTTTTGTTCGCTATAGTGTAGCGTACACGAGGATACATGTAAATATGTAGGAATCACATGTTTGTATTGTAACAAATATGTTCCTACAGACTAGTAATTTCATCAAAAATGTTTCTATATCAAAGATCATAGTTATTTTTAAACTATGTAAGAATAACTATTCCGTTTATCATGATGAATTGCTAGGATCTTAAACTAAATTCCTCGAATAGCTCAATCATCAAGTATTTGAATCTACATGTTGACTTTTCTACTAATGTTTGTAAAAATCTGAATTCATCCAACAGATATAAATCACTTTCTACTATTATCGTTTGTGATGATCTGTAAATATATCTTTCATACAAAAGTTATTTTCACTAAAAGCGTATTTTAACCATAGACTTCATTTATTCCTTTATTCTAATAGCCCGTTGTATACTTTGATTCAATGTAATGATTTGAACACATCTGGGAGAAAAAAAAGTGGCATGTTTCATTCTAGTCAATTAAAGTTATTTCATTAAGTACTTTAACTAATAACCGTTTTATGAATGTTGATAATTTAAATAAGTAATTAGCACGGAGAGCGGAAATTTTTTAGATTCAAAGTTTACATCACTGACTGTTCTCCAATGACTTATAGTAAGAACTATATATTTTAGAACCATTTTTACCAATTGAAGAAATAAACACGTTTGTTTTTATTTCACCTACTTAACTCTATATTATACACCTAATATGGACAAATGATTACTTTCTTTGCTGCCTTTTCATATTACTTTTTATTCAATATCAGTTATGGTCAACATATTTCCAATAATGGTTATTACTTTTGTCATGAACCGGAGAAAATTGTTATGATGTTCAATCGCATACGTAATTGGCCTAATGAACCTGGTCCTAAAGGCTATCCTCAAAAACTTGGTCGATTTCAGATAACTGGTATACGGGATTTAACAGTTGGTTATGATGATCATTATCCAGACTTAAAACCGGTAACATTAATTCAATTCCACACTAATGTGAAACATTCCCTGTTATTGTTTTTAATTAAAGTTGAATTAGGACTAACACTAGGATCCGGGATGTATATTTCGTTTTAATTGAGACTCAGCTGAGTGTATTTAAATCTCATTGTTATTTGTCTGTGTTAAGACTAGAACTGAGTACCTTTGACTTCGAACTCCAACACGTCATCCACTATGTTGTTGAGTCCAAATACGCGCTATCTTGTGCAACCAACATGAATTTTGTTTATAAGAGTATGGACTCTCCCTTTGTTAATATCTTTCTTAGTATATGTGCATTCTAAGCAAATTACCCTGTTACGATTTAATCATAGGTTTTTATTAAAGTTAAATGATGATTGACAATAGAATCCAGAATACACATTCTGTCTTATTGTATAGCTTTTTTTCTCAATTCAATTTATATATTATTTAAAGTTCATACTTGTTTCGAAGTAAATGCACCGTGTAAAATTTTATCATATATGTAGGACTATAGGTATACATGTGCATCACACAACAATATAATCACGTTTTCATAAAGCTTGATAATTTGTGTTTTATTATATTGTGCTCGTTTAATTAACCTAAGGTCATTGAATCGGGGTCAAAACGTTTAATAAACTATTTATGTGTAATAATGCATTGATATAAATTAAGTAAACCAATTTGAAAATTGACTATACCATGGTAAAAAAAAATATTTGATTTCAAAAGAAATCATCTTATCAGTAGGTTTAATAGGTATTACACTACGTATTCTATGCATATAAATAATAGAATACAGTGATTCTTTTTTCATATCTTGTCATTCATACGTGTAGTAATTTAATGTTTAACTCTTTCCTTTAGTCCACCAATGAAATATATGACTTAATTTCTTCTTTTTTGTCCAGGTATTACCTGTTAGTAAGTCAAGTCAGTTGATTACTTTCGATTTCTCAAATGGTGTGACACTAACGCTTCGTACAAGTGGAACTGAACCAAAAATTAAATATTATTCTGAATTGAGGTCGAAACCTGGAAGCGAGTAAGTGATTTCATTTTTCTAACATTATCGTTTCTTAGTACGAAATCCCTCAGTAATCCATACTCCCAGCATATTTTGATATCATGTTTATTATTTTCAAGACTCGTGGAGAACATCTTAATGATTTGCAATACAGTAGTAATAACACCGATAGTAATGAACTTAATGATTGAATTGTTTTGTTGTACATGTCAAAACTTTTTATTAGATTCTAACTTGTAATGACTAACTGACAGTACGTCTATCATGGGACTTAGCCATCTTAAATATAGTTTCAGAATTCATTTTGAGTAGTCTTCATTGTAGTTTTTCATGCTTTTAGACAATTTTTTAATTTATGCATCATCTTATGAAAAAATATTTTCGAATCAGTTAGTGTTTTCGAAGTAATGTGCCACATTGTTTGTTTCTTTCTGTTATATGTATCTACTTAATTTATATGCTTATTGTTAATAGGATAACGTAATTCTGTCATCTACTTTACCGTACTACACTGTAACACTGTAAAAATAAGGAAAATAACGAAACTAGCGGGAAAGAAAATAATCACAATAGAAAACAATTTATGACAGAAAACATTTTTGAAAAGCTTATTCGTTTGATGAGAATGGATGTGTTATTTTTCATTACGATTGATTCTTAGTCATTTTTCAAAGCCACTCCTCCTCCCCCTAACTAACTATTATTGATTGATGTCTAATAGATCCATGATAAATGAACTTTTCCAGTTTTCAACGTGATTCCACTCAGTTTTCATAAAAATCACTTAGTCATTGCAATATTTTGTTCTAGTCACTGTAATATCCAATATCATTGTAATTCCTATAGTTAAACTAGCAAGTATAGAACATAGAGGATAGTTCTCGATAATTTCTTATATCACTAAGTTGAAATCCGATTTTTTTACATTTGTAATTTTATCTAGTCTATAGGAATGGTGTTTTCCTCATCCAACATTTTTCAGTGGATTTATAAAATCTAAAATATTTCTCACTGTGAATTTGGACTAGCCGAGAATAAATAATTATCATGTGGCTCGTGACGGATATTCTGAAATTGTACTGTAAAATAGTAGTAGCAGTTTACTTATTGACTACTCTGTTGGATGAAAATCACATCCTATTACAAATTAATAAAGATTAGAAATATAGATTACTGGATTCTACTTCAGGTATGATACTTAGATCGACACTTCAATATCCTATATTCATTCTCAAGTGAGCTTCCAGATGTGTACTGATGGGGAGTAGTTACAGATTAGAACAAAATAACTATCGAGTACTTTCTGGTTTTCAATGATCCTTTAATTTATACTAATTTGTAGTACAAATTACCTTCATATTGTAGAAAAGTTTCATGAAACCACTTTAGTAAATGATATTTGTTTATTGATGAGGAAATAATGTCGATGTGTAACTTCTCCAAGATTATTAGAATCTTCATATAGAGAGTTTTTTCTTTTTTTCTTTTACACACTCTACTTCTCAACTTGTTGATTTCACCTTACTAATGTTGATATAAGCTGTGAAAACTTATACCAATTTACATTTATCAAAGATATCTGAATAATTAACTGTTTTATGTTTATGAATCACTTAAGTTCATATCATTCCATTTGTTTCATATATTCAATTGCAAAGACATGAAGTAATCTAATGAATTTTATATTATTCACATGTGAAATTTCATTTAATTTAATTAACTAAATAGTTTGATTAAAAGAAAAATGTTTATTACTAATTATATACGTGACCATTTATTGTGTTAGGTTAAAATCTATTATGTTATACACTAGTTAGTGTTAGATTAACCTTTTTTTATTTCTCACATAAATGATTATTTCTAATTTATCTATTTAATGTAATTCATATATTAACACAGATTATAAATGAAACGTTAATTAAAATTCACAACAACAAAATCATATACGTCAAGAAATATTAATGCTAAGAATTCTATCTAACTAAATTCAATTCACGTAAATTTATCTAACTGTAAAACTAAATAATTTGATTTGGATTTCTTAACAAAAACCATAAGTTTTTTTTTTAAATTCCATGTTGATAAACATAAGCGGTGAGACGATAATTTATGGACGACCTTTGAACAACGCTAGACTGACTTTCAAACCATCCATCTAATAACTAGGATCAAATGAAGGTTACAAATCTGCGTTAGGAATTCGAATTTTAACTTACAGTTGATGGTTAAGTTTAGGAATTATATTTAGGAGTTTTCATCACCAACTGACATCAGCTATAATGTCAAAATGGTATTTAACCAAATGAATGGATGAATTTCGGGCCAAAATTCGAGACCTGTTTTCTTACATTTGATTGGTTATCGTTTCGTTAAATAAGCTTCTCTTTAAAAAAAAGAAAAATAATAAATACACTAATCTGTTTTCATTGGTGATTTAGACAAACTGATATGAAGATTGTAGGTATCATTAACAAGGTTTGACTTGATAATTTCGAATAAATTGAGCATTAGGTAGATTGCTATAAATAAAAAGAATATATCGGTAATATCCCAATGGGTAGAAATATTAAATTTTCGGATGTTTCGTAACTCAGAGTAAGTCACTTCCTCAGAGAATAAAGAACTAAATCCTGATATAAAGATTATTTCATTTGAATATTTTTAAAAAATGTCGTAGAGATCTTGTTCTGTTGATTTAGTAAACAAATTAAACGACGGATTTATAGCAATCATGTGTTGTTTAATAATAAGATCAATGATCAACTGGTTGAAATATTTAACCTAAAATACTAAGTTTCAGGTACACGGAACCTATTGCATTTACTTTCGATTCAGTCAACTAAATAGTGTAGCATTCACTAGTAAAACCAATAAATCAAACTTATAATCAATAATTTAAGGATATCAAACTGTTCATGGGTAGTTCTTCTCAAATGATGATTATTCGAAAGGCTTCGTTGCGATTAATTTACTTTGTAAATGATAATCTCCTAATGACACATGATATGACTCCCATTTCGAACGAACAGATAAATATGCCATGAATATATATCTTTCTCTTAATTCCGCATATTCTATTTAGGCTCACTCTGTGTTGAATGATGGCAAAATAAGTTAAATGAATTTATTTTAGACATTCGTTTACTCAAACTTATATGTAGGTCAGAAGCGAAGCGGAAAAGCCAAGCAATACCGACTCGATTTGAGAAAGCATGGCTCAATATTTATAGCCAGATAGAAAAATCAGCTAAAGATATGTGATGAATTGAACGAGCGATACATACATATACAATCATATAAAGACGGTTAAAGTTAGAATGAGATAAATGACGAAATCAAGTATAAATGCTGACTCGAAAAGAATAAATTAATTAGTCTGCTCAAAAGCCGAAATAATCCATGTAGGTGTGACATAGCACTAGAAGTTGTAGTCTTTTGATATTAGTTGATATTTCTCAATGATGTCTAATGAATAAAGTCAGCACATGCTGAATGTCATCTACTCTGTAGTGTTTATTAAAAAGAATTGATATTGAATCCATTATAGATTCCATCAATATACTTATTGCGTCTATTTGGTTTTCTTTTTTTTAACCAAAAAAATCAATGAATTCCAGAGCATCTGTGGAATCTTTAACAAATGAACTTCAAGAACTGGTGAATAAAATGATTGAAGAATTTTATGAACCTGAAAAAAATGGTTTCCTTCCTCGTGTGGATTAAGTTGACGTTGTTATTTACTTATTTGTTTTAGTTCTTTATTAATTTAAAAGAAAGAAAATTGTGCTTTTTTGGTTATAAATATTTTGTTGCTCTATGTACTTTTATTTGTTCACTCTTTGTTATTGACCTTGTTTTTTCTATTTATCTCTCTGTTCTATCTATTTGTTTGTTTATTTATTAGTTCACTAATTTAATAAATTTTGAATGATACTTTCTGTTAATTTGTAGCTTTGATTTTTACTTTCATTTGTTTATTTTTATTTGATTGAACCATTTTGATGATGAACAGAAAAATAAATTGTTTTAATTATTTGTTATTGTGGTTTAATGTTAATTATTTTCTCTTATATATGACTAGATCTACTGGTTATCTGTTGTTATCTCAGCTGTTAACACAGATAATTGGATAGCGTTGCTTACCTAATAATGTTAAATTTCTAATTGGAATGGTAAATAACGGTATCGGGAATGTGCGAAATGTCTGATCTACTGATGAGGGGTACATCTGTATCATAATTATCCTTGATATTATCAATCTAATCCATACTCAACTTTTGTTAATTCGATTTTCAGTAACACTTGTTACTGACAAATATTTATTGATAGTATATCTATTTCACTGATGATATATATATGGCCGAATTGTAGGAAATTTATTGTACTTGAGTTTTTATGAGCTCATATACGAATAGCTGATGGTCTCCAAAATGGGTGAAACGTGTATCCTCAGTTCATTGTTTAATAGGTGGATTGGTACGCTTGTGTTTCACTACTACTAATTTTCTTATACGCTAAACATTTGGTCGGTAAGCTGTAACTCAACATATTTAGTTACTTGTCACCGTTTCGAGCATACGTAGAGTTTTATCTAACATAAGTAATATCCTTCCACTCAAATTCTTTAAATTTATATACTCTTTTTTCGTTTTTTTTTTTTTTTGGATCATGTTCACATTGAACCTAAATGTTCAGTAAGCTTGAAAGAGAGAAATATTCCAAAGGGAATGTTCTCAGAATACGTCCATATTTATTGAAAACTATATGTTGACATCAACCATCTCTCTTCAAGCATTTACATTCAATTCTCATTGTCTTGTTAATTAAAGTGACTTGATTACGTTGTTTAGTGATTATACTTGCTTGAAAAACAGATACATTGATTGCGTCTTTAAATATCTTGGCAAGTGTAGCCTATTAGTGACTTGATTGATTAACTGGTGAGTAAATTTCTGCACAATCACCACAAATAATCATAAGCCAGTGTAAGATTAATTTGACCACAATCCTTAAATTTCTGATGTACCTAGATGTGACGCCAGGATCTACAACTGTAGTTAGAACACAGTCTTTTAGTTATATATGTATCACACTAATCGATCCTAATTGTAGCTGCATGCTATTTTTATCCTTTTGCACCAGTCACTTATGTATAAAAGGTGATCTGGTATGTTTTCAATTATCCTTTTTAGATACCGGGAGTTTACAAGAAGTTATTTGGATAGCTTTCTGATTTTACATATTGCAGTAATTTTCTTTTACAAAAACTATTGATTCAAAAAGAATGTGGTCTAGATTTCTTTTACTCATAAGTTATCAGACAACTGATTATTCAAAAGGTGTACACAAAAGTTCCTAAGTTTAAGAAGCATGTTCACTTTGTGTTATCCTATGACAATAGGTTGAATAACAATAGTGTGTCGAATCATTCTTTTAATTAATATTTACCTGGATGAAATCACAGTTTAAGTTGTTTGAACCTCGGTCACCTGAAAGTTTATATGTGTAAGATTTCTCAGCATGTTTAACCGTTTTGAAAAAGTAGGTTTTCTTTTAAAACTTTATTTAAACCCTTTGCTATTTTGTGCTTGTATACATTTTCTGTGCGGTTTAATAATGAGTTTTTTAGAGCAGTTTATAACTTTGAATTTTTTTAATTACAGACTGTGCACTGTAACATAACTTCAACCAAACGCAGCATCCAGAAACTTACGTATGCTGAATTTCGCACACAATTTAGCCTCTGATTTTAGATGCTGTTAATACAATAATTAAAATCCTCATCTAATTAAATGAGTTTGAAGTTTCTACGAATCTATGATGATACTTGCTGTTATGTCTTAAACTGCCGTGCTCTGGTTCAATGCCCGATCGCCTATCATCGTGGATTATACTCTGTCGTACCTACTAACAATTGATCTGAATAAACTCAAGAAAAGTTATTCCCTACTATCATGGTCTAGGAAACCGTCGATATTCGTGATGTTAATTTGGTGTGCTCTAAGTATTATTCACTAAATTAGTCGGATTTGAGATTTTGTATGAAGGTTAAAGATTTCAAACTGACAATTTTGGAAAGACATTAACACGTTTTTTTAAAGATTCGTAAAATAAACTGTTTCTGCGTTTTTCACTGTAATTCCCAGTCATCAACTTCCTAACTATCTTTAAGATTTTTCACACTGAAACGCCCTAATCTTTTTTAGATAAGATTTAGTATCCCACATAGACATTCTCCAGTTGACAATCTTGATATTATCCATCACTGTATGTAATTAAACCTAAGATAATTCTTTTGTAGATGGCTTTCGGAGTTTTTCTGGGAGACATCTGTCGAAAACATCAATATAAGGAAGATGATTCAGTGTTTCTTTTTGCTGGAACAATGTCATATTGATAAATATTGGTTGAATTGGTCAAGGCAATTGTACATTGAACAATAATTCGCTATTTTCGTTGCTCTATTTAGACTAAATGACGGTCTACACAATAATCGGACGCGCTCATACTTCTGCGTATTATAGGATTAATAAAAGAATTTATTTCAAGTCCTCTTTTATATTTACACAGTTATTGACTTTACCTAACACAGGTTGAAATATGAAACATAAAAATTTTACTGATTTCAAAATTATGCAAGAAAAATATTGTTGTAAATAATTTATTGGATCTCAGTGTGTAAAACTTTCCTAATTCTCCATGTTTCAATATCTGTTTAAATGAGTGGATAAACATGGTTAATTGTACTTATGATGTGACTTGGTGTCAATCCCGGGTACGTCTTTTAAAATGTACGTTTACTTAAATTCCAACCACTTTATAATAAGACAAAAACTTGACTATATCGAGTTGATCTGCATAAGATGCACATATGCTAATCAAGATTAATCAAAATCCAGCCGAAAATATGAAAAACAGGATAATCTTAAGCATTACAAATTAGAAGTCCTACCCGTTGCACAAGTAAATAAATATTTGACTTTTGTAGCTGAGTGGATAACATGTTGGTGTTCTAACGGTGGAGTGAATGTCATCTTTAGGATGGATGTGCATCCAGTTGAAGGGTCCCGAAAAGGACACCCGGGCATTATCACAGTCCTTACACATATCAAATGAGATCTGTGTGGCGCATATGTATTTGGTGCCTCCTTGTACCAATATCTATGTGTAAAAATAAATAAATAAACGTGTTCTGGATTTCACTACTAGCCACATTCCGTCTATACTGTGTAATAAATCTAAAGGTTACTTTGATTGTCCAGTTACCTATGTTCGTTTTAATAACGCGGATATCAGGGAGCTTTCTGTTAGATGTTTTATCTACATTCTTCGAAAGTGGTTGTTAACAAATTTTCATTTTCGAACATGATTTGTTTCACAATCGACGATCACTTAATATTTTCGGATGCTAACTAAGTTACTTATGAGTAGTCAAACTAGACATTTGTAATAACAGGATACTCAACCTTCGGTTTACCAGAGATTAAAGGATTGCGTGGCATTCGTAATGTCTACTGGGACTACCTAGTTTCTTAAACTTCGTTAATTGAGTCTATTTTGGAAGCTACTACTGACTGGTCATAAATCACTTTCATCAACATCAAAATTGGACTATAGTTCAATAAAAAGATTAGTTGGAACAAGCTTTTTTCTCGCGTAATTAAAGCATGTTCGACGAAAGTATTTGAAGTTTTCTGGTCCGTGATATTGAGCGACCATCACAAATACCTTCTACGTTATCTACCTCTATTTCACCATGTTCAGATCCCATCAATTGTATCTAGAACTTAAAGAATTCTTCTCAAACTTAGTCACTAGCAAACACACATTCTATTAAGGTAAGAAATTAGTTTGAGCTGCTCAATGCAAATCATTCACTATTTATGACTATTTAATCACCCTACTATTGTATAAACACTTGTTTATTTCCAAAAATGAAAAAAAGATCGTCATAAAACACAGTGAATTTTCTTTAATGATCTCCATTGAGATTCAAGAAAAATTATTAATGAGTAAAAGAAATATTGGTGAAAAAATGATTTATATAAATAAGTCTTATGGAAAAATATTTGTGTACAAAAAGGATTATTTAAAAATGATTTTGTGACAGACTAATATCATCCAAGGGACAGTATTCCAGTAAATGATTTACACTTAAGCAATAAACTCTCAACTCTAAAACTTCCAACAAATATGCACTTTTGAAAGCAATGAGGATCATAGCGTCAAACATTAAATTTGTTATATTTTAATCCTTATGTGGAACTCCAGTCTTTCATATTCTTTAAATACAGTCAGTTTATGACGGCGTACAACTGTTACTTTATGCCACTGTCAAGTGGTATCCTTAACTTTTGATTTACGTCTATATGTAGTACAAACTAGTTTTATACATATAACTTTGGTTGTATACTCTTAGTCCCAGCTTTTGTAGTATACAGTACTTTTACATGTAGTTTTAAAATGACTTAAAAATACATCTTTTAGATGTTATTATATGAAGAAATCGATGCTAAATGTCCATAGTCTGTTGAGTGTTGCACGATAGTTTACATGGTTGGTTTGCCATATTTCTAAGCTATGCTGCTAAATCCTATACATATATAAAGTGTGAATGAAATATCTATACATCAACTAATCTTGTATAAAGAAGTTTATCGATTAACATATCATAATAAACAATTATTTCTTTGAAATCACCTAATGTCATTTAATTGTTCGTACAGTTTAGTTCCTTTACTTAACATGAATATAATGTGAATCTTTCAGATGTGGTTACGATAATTTCTTTTTCTATTCACAGAAATGAAATATCTCATCTCGTTTTAAATTCACTATAGACAGACATTTGATTTTTATGTATGTCTGGGTTTCTCCACCAATCTACTTACTGTGTTTTCCTATGCAACAATTTTTGTCTGTTTCATTTTTCGAACCTTTTCTCGCCGAATGTTAAATTCTGACGCCAATCAATTTTTTTTTATTCTAGTTTTTACAGCCTGTTTACTTGAAGGCATATATTATATGCTTACTACATGTCTACTACAGAGTTTACTTACTCATTGTATAAACATACTCTTCTACTTAACTGTTTATTAGAAATAATGATGAATTTTGAAGAGAGCGTTGTTTTTCTCACTTCAAATATTATTATTGTTATTATTATTATTATTACTATTATTATTATTATTATTACTATCAAAGTCAACCGTGGTAACTGACCATCTGTTGCGTGGACTTGACACATTTATTTAGTTTTTTTTCTTTTTGACAAACTACAAACAAAATGTGAAATAATATAATAACAATGTAAAAACAAAGTAACAAGAAGTTTTTATTCTCAATAGGAAAATCTACGTCTTTTCATTTAATCATACTGAACTTGGAAAATTACGTAAGTCATGTGATATACTAACACAAATGACTATATGCACATAGCAATTACTTGGTTAGATGAGGAAATTTCAATCTATCCCTTTTTTTCACCTTTTGAATTTTAGCATAGATTTTTAAACAATGATAAATCTTTAAAATTTATTGGTTAATTTAATTACATAAAACATGATGTAATCAACATGGATACAAAGTATTTATATGATGAAAGTTTAAATAATTTTGTTCAGATCACTCAATAATGACTGAAAAGCTAGACAAATATAACACTGATTATTGTTAACTGATCAGTATATTGTAAATATATGTTCTACAGGAGACTAGTCGCTCTCCAAACAACTCAGCAGTAAAGTCTCATATTATGAAGCTAGACTACGCAAGTTTGAACTTACGTGGAAGCATCAGTTCATCCTAATAGGCATAGTTTCCTACCAATTATCTAACGTCTTAACATTGTCCATAAGATGTTGAGCCATTCACATTAGCGATCACATTGTTATTTGGTCGATGGAGTTTAATCAACAGTATAGGATAAAACGAATATAACATTAGTCACTGCTCATTGATCAGTCAGTTATTATAATCAAAAATATTAATCGAAGCTCTACCGAGATAACTATGCATTTAAATGTCATTTTGTTAGCATGATATTTATGATTAATGGCGTTAGCAGATTTATGTTTGGCTGAAGAGCAAGAATTCGGCTTATTAAATTTAAGTTTCGTCCTATTTGGAGCTCGCCAGCTAGGTGTACCTACATTCTAGAGTTGATATTTACTCCGGAATTCAAACCTCGTACCGTTCGCTTCAGGCACCGTTACGTTATCCACTTGGCTACTGAGTCCAGATGGCCACTAGCTTGTGCAATGGGGTGAAGTTTTAATTCATTTTGGCATTGGTCGTTTGAAAGTTCCTATTGGTGTTTAGGACTGAAACAGATCAGTCTCCTATTATCTCTTTTTATCCAGTTGACGAGTCCTAAATAAGACGAAACGCACCTCTTAAATTCCAGTGCTAGCCACCATCCACCTTTATTTATAATGCATGTAACTTATGGTAATATTGAGGAAATCCGCTCAGGATGCACACATGCCAATAAGAGTCTGACCAATCACAGTCCTAAGCATCAATGGGAAGATTTAACCAAACAATACAAAAGTGATATAGTTGGTTTTATCCGTCCCACATTCTCAAAAACTATCATAATCTCCTCTAAAAAATGAAAATACTAAAAAGTTTTGCAGACTAAGTTAGCTCATAGAGTGGATTTTTAAGTGGTAAGTTATTTCTTCACGTTCAGACAAAAATGAAAATTAGACGTCATATGAAAGTATAACATAAATCTAACTCATTTCTTAACAAAATAACACATAACTAACACAGAACTATTCATATGAACAAATATTCAAGCATAAAATGAAGAAACTGTTAGCTTTACTAAAAAATTTATGCTGTTTCAAAGTGAGATTTTATTTTGAAAAACCTATAAAGCTTTAATGAAAAAAAAATCAATAATTCAAGTCTAAAAGTAAGAAATACAATTTCAGATTATTCTCAATATTTAATAACTATCATCACTCCTTTCTATTATTGTATACAGATGTATTCATGAATTTTTAACTCGCTACCAAAACTGATACTAGTTAATTACTGACAAACAATAATTCCTGAATTCAATCTCTCATGGATTTACTCATACATACTGCTAGAAAGTTTCATATAGGAATTATACACCTGTTAAGTTTTTCATGGTTTTAAATATTTCTTCAAATGGCTTCAGTTCCAAATGAAAAATACCTTTAAACTGTCTTTACAAGAGAACCTTATTACTTTAACATTTATTCATTAAGACATTGGTTTATACTTTTCTTGTTTATTTTTGAGTATATATATTTATTCAGCTTTATGGGCATCTTGCACCAATCATTAACATTAGCTGATGTGTCAATGATAACCAGGGAGCACTAGATAACCGTTTCGACCTAGCATGTAGCTCCTTGTTAGTATGCACTCATGATCCGATTGAAAGCCAAACCTATCCCTTTTAGGTCTCAGTGAGATTTCGAATGATATGGATCTATAGTGAAAACCATAAACACACTAATTTAATCTTCTAAAAACCAACTAAAATAAAATTCACTCAAGTTGATTGAAATGAATTCATACTTCTGAGAAACAACACACGTACAGTTTAATAGTAAATCTACAAATGACTGAGTGTTAAGACAGTTTGATTAATTGGACGGATTAGGTCAAATTAATACATGTATATCCCATTACAAATACGCTCATGTACAAGAACACATACATGGAAGCAAAGTTTTTCACTGACTTTTCACATTTACATAATGAGTAAGAAAAAAATATCAAATTTTTGAGAAAATATCTTATTTGTCTATTTATTTTCTTCACCTCACTTCCTTTTTTTACCGATTTATTTATGAAAATTCTTATTTTATGTAGAAATAAACGTACATATATTTGTACATGTATACAAACACACACACACACAACATAAAATAAAACTAATGATTATAAATAATAAAACAATGAAGAAAAAATTTAATGAACCTGATAGACACCTTAATTTTCTCCTACTTGGGTATATTAGTGAGTGCTAGAATGTATATATATATATATATATATATATATATATATATATATATATATATATATATATATATATATATAATCTATTCTTTTCATTCAACCTCATTTGTTGTATCTATGTTCATTCATAAGCATTTTGAATGTATGTCAATGAATGTATTTTACTAATTATGAACATGCTTCATTTATAGTCTGGATATATATATATACTCTGACAATAACAACAACAACTGCAACACCCAAACTAATTTATTTCCGTCTCATTATATAGTTGCAAAAACAGGATTCTATAATTAAGGAAAACGTAGAGAAAGCTCTAAAGAGAAACAGAATAAAGTAGGTAAAGACAAATAAGAAGTTTTAGTAAGGTGAACAGAAAGAAATATTTATGTAATAGTCCTATTTTAGGTGTGCATATTTATGTGTGGTTAGAATTCATGAAGTCCTTTTCTCCTTTTTTTTGAATAAAATAGTTGACTAAGATTAAAATCATATGATATGAAAAGTTGTTTTATTGTTTTCATATAAGTATAAAAGTTTTATTTACAGAGTATTTATTAGAATGTTAATCCGATGACCTGATTAGGTTGAATAGTAGAGGCAATCCTTATGGTTTATTTCATAAGTATCTATAACAGACAATGAAATTCAAAGAAGTTTTCTTTGATATACATCAAGTCGTCACAGAATAAAAACTGTATATTAAATAGATAATGCCTTACTTTTAAGTGTGATTTCATATTTTCTTAATGATATTCTACAAATTAATCAATAAATATCAATGGTTGCGATCATGAGTCAGTTGAAGCTAGACTACTATGGAAAACCTGGAATCACTAGACGGCCGTTTCGTCCTATTGTAGGGCTCCTAAGCATCCACAATTATTAAATAATTGACATACATCATTATTTAAAAAGGTTTGTATTCTCTCTTTGCTAATATTCAAGAGGAAACTCGAACAATTCCTGCACACAATCAC